ACATACTTCGCTCTAAATCAAGAAAGTTAAGAAAGTTAAAAGTTGATGTCAAATAAAATCCTCAATGAACAATACAAATTTGATTTTTCCAAATTACTAATATTTCTATCCTGCATTTTTCTAAAAGAGAGAAAGCTTTAGGGATGCTTTGAGAGAAGTGTTAAGTAGTTGTTTCCTTTCGTATTACGATAAGCTTCAATTCTCATAAACGTTTGTAACCACAAGAAAAATTTGTAATTAAAATCAGGGATAAAGCAAGAATCAGTAATGACAGCTAGAAAGCACAAAAAGAAACACTATAAATATGATTTTCATTCACTTCGCAAAATTGCTTAAAAAACAAGTCTTAGAACAGCTAGGTACACACTTCCTGATGTTAAGCTTCGTTAGAAATAGAAAATGTTGTCGTGTGGGCTGGAAAACTTTAAAATTAACAACTTGGAAACCTAAAAAAACTCACTGCCTGAAAAGATTTTGTAAAAGTCAAATTTAAAGGATCTTTGCAGAACATTTGTAGAAAAAATTGTATACAATATTTATAAACTCTTTGTACAGATTTAATTCAAAACTAGCGTGACCGTAGCTACACATGGTAAAAGTAAGCACAACAATTAGTAAAGAAAATTATTTTTAGTTCTTATGTATAACACAAGATAAAGTTCTCAGAGTTCTCAATGTGAAAAAACATCTTAGCTAATTTTTTTTCTTAGATCCCTACAAATACTTTCTTATATTCTGGTATTATACAATTAAAACGTTCATTGTAGTATAATTTACTAATGCGACAATGCCACACGTGTTGAACTAACTACATCACAAGTTCAAGATGGTGGTGGAAAAAGTTTGAAAATATGTCTCAAAGTTCTTCTAGTTCAATAATATTTAAAAAAAGTAGGGGGCGAAAACTCAAATGCACTGTAACTATGTTTATTAATCTACTTCATTTTATAGCCATGTATTCACAGGCTACCAGATTGTACGCACTTCGTACCTATTTTGATAATTTTGTATTGAATTACTCTTTTAGAAGCAGTCCATAAAATATCTTACCGATCTTCAACAACGCTGATATCTTCAACCATTTTTTTTTTTCATGTCTCCAAATAAACCAGCTATAAACTCTACCACCAAATGCCACTTATCATCTGATGCATGATCATCCAAAAACTCTCCAATGTTTTGCCAATTGTCAACAAAATGCCATGCAGCAAGAAATTCTTGAAGATTTAAATGAAGAAAACAGTAAAAAAGCGTCGTTTATGTGATATCTGATGAAAACTACCACAATTTGCCAACTTTTGAAGGCCACTGTCTTCCTCAAAAATCAAACTTCCTTCTTCAATTCCACTCTTTGCTTTTTCTTTTATTTTACTTGTATCATTATTAAGCTGGTGTGGTAAAGGTTTAGTCAAATAATCATTTGGAGTTGGTATTTTCTTGCAAAATGATGGTGTTTCCATGGTAAGATTTTGTCCGCTCTGTAGTACAAATCTGTGATAGTCTTTGGAACATCTTCAGCATTAATTATGAAGCTTTCCTTCTGGGTCAGACATACAATATAAGTGTTGACAGGGATATAACATAGGCTATGAAGCTCAAGAGAAGAGTTAATACAATTCATAATGTGCTCATACATCTCTACAGTATGGCTGTTGTTATCTTCAAGGGAACCATCAATGGTATACAAACTTTGCTCAGTCTTAGAATCGTCTTCACCGCAAAATTTGTTAACATATTCTTCAATCTGATCCTCAAAAAAGCTCAAGATCTCCACAGTCCGGTCAAACTCCAAGCGTTTCAATGCATGTTCAGCTGTGGGTCGTAATGTTATAAGAACAGTGGCACCACGCAGCAGTTTACCTTCAACCAACATACTTAATAGTGTAAATGCTGGCATTTTTGCATCAGCAAGCATTGAGCCATCAGTTTTAGTCCAACTGTTAACGACAAAAAAAACACCTAACCCTTCACTTTGATGATACAAGTATGAAACTTTCTCACATTCTTACTATGCCTAGTAACACAAAATTTTGATATAGGGCCAGCCCATATTTTACATTTAAAACGAGTTCTGCGAATGTCGTGTTTGATGACGTCATCGGTAGTAAAAAAAATAAAGTTCAGAGAAATCTGCAATTTCCCTGTATATTCTTATACAACAGCTAAAGACGATAGAAAAACTATATTACAACTTTTTCTTTTAGGCAATACTTTCCCAAATATTGTGCATGGAATATTCTGAAAAGTGCTAAGTCAGCACTTTTATATATATTATATACATATATATACAAAGTGTATATACAATGTGCCCTCCCGGCTATCACCATATTAAAATGGTGACTCCTGCACTTGGGACACCGGACGTACGGTTACACATTGTATGGATTGTATTGTAGAGTCACCAGAGTCACCTATATATATATAAAGTGTACAACAATGTGCCCTCCCGGCTTTCACCATAGTGCAATGATAAATCGTATCGAAACAATGAAGAACATTCAATTAAGTTTCTTTAAGATTTATTACCTTACTTGTGTTAGCATTCAGAATAACCTAATTGAAAAAACCTAATTGGAAAGAAGATATGTCAAAGGATCATCCTCAGTTTCTGTATTGGATCAGAGTTTTGGAACTAGAATTACTCTGTTTACAACTAGTGCGATCATTTAGAGAAGCTAATTTCTCCTAATACTTCCAGTCAATTAAGCAACTTGTCCCTTGGATGTTTGCTTTGGGCAATGTTAATTATGCAAGATGGGTTTCTGTCCATATCCGTGATATGTCGGAGCTTCCATTCAAACACCCTGACGTCTTTAACCAGTTTTACCAGTATGACTACTTTTATTTCTACTGTTATGTCTATCTTCGTTAATTGTCGGTTTTTGCGTGTCGTTGACGGAAATCATACGACCACCAACGACTACACCTTTACCGCAGAATATTGAAATTTTGTTAAGACTATGTGAACGACATTTCAAAAGACGACATGAACGACATTTCAAAAGACGACATGAACGACATTTCAAAAAGACGACATGAATGATATTTTAAAAAGACGACATGAACGACATTTCAAGAAGACGACATGAACGACATTTCAAAGACGACATGAATGACATTTTAAAAGACGACATGAACGACATTTCAAGAAGACGGCATGAACGACATTTCAAAAGACGACATGAATGACATTTCAAAAAGACGACATGAATGACATTTTAAAAAGACGACCTGAACGACATTTCAAGAAGACGACATGAACGACATTTCAAAAATACGACATGAATGACATTTCAAAAATACGACATGAATGACATTTCAAAATACGACATGAATGACATTTCAAAATACGACATGAATGACATTTCAAAAGACGACATGAACGACATTTCAAAAATACGACATGAATGACATTTCAAAAAGACGACATGAATGACAATTATGTTGTTTTCATCAGTTTCTTCACCTTGAATATGATTTCATTTTCCAAAACTGTCTTCAGAAAGTAGAGTAGAGCTGCCACTCTTCATAAGTTTCCTAGCAGGCGAGAATGCCGAGAATTTTTTAAAATCTTCCCAGTTATCACGTATTATTCTACCCTGCCTGATCATTTACCAGTAGTTACTACTGTGTGATAATCTTATCTGAGCGTTTTTATTTTTTCTTTAATCCGGTCATTGTCTTTTTTATATGAATCTCCAGTTTTATTCATATCTTGCAATGGTTTTGAACATTCCGATACCTGAATAGCCGGCAAAGCACTACTCGAAGTCTCGTGCCATTAGCTTTCAGATTTCTTCATAGAACACAACGAAGTCTGCCTTAAAATTGATTTCCTTGAACTCCGTACAGGATTCATATTCTTTAATATTCGTAAAAAAACACTGCACCTTTTCATTTGTGCAATTCTAATTCTTTATTGATTTCAACATCATTTAAAAATTTTGTAAACACAATTTGTCCCGGCCAGAGGGGTAACTAGAACGTCAATTGGGGGAGGGGGTGTATATTCGTATATTTAGCTGTGACCAACTGATTTCTTTTGAAATTCAATTCACTTTCAAAAGAAATCAGTAGTGCACAACGGAATATATGACTATACCCCCCTTCCAATTAACGTTCTTACGACTGTGGTCCCGGGCTGGACACTGTGTTGCATTCACGTGTCAAAATACTGCCCCGTTTAAGTGAGTGCTTTGCGTTTTTTAGCAGAGTGCCTCGGGTAAGTTTTCATCCGGGATAAGAAAAATTACAAGTTACAACACAAGTTACAAACACAAAGTAATATTTATTGGGAAGCTGCGGTGTTTTTTCCCGGGGACAACAAATGTCCCTTAGCAAAAAACTATCCAGGAATTATGAGAACTACTGGAATTTGTCGTTTCGTACAAGGACGTCCAGGTACAGGTATTCTGAAATATTTTAGCGCATTTTAGAGTACAAAGAAAAGCAGTATTGAAAATTTTTGATCAAATAACGGCAAAAGTTCTGTTGAGAGGAATACAAATGTGATAGAGAGTGAGTAGTTAGTGGCAAAGCTTTAATAGCAGCATCGTCAAAGTTATAATTTCAAGTCAAAAATTAGAAAAAAGGTTGAAAAAAAGGAAAACATGCAGGTAGACACTCAAAGATAGACATAAAATAGACATAAAATAAATTTAAAGATGGGCGTAAAAACAACGGTAGGCAAAAAGGTAAACATTAAAGTAGTTACTAAAGTCGACTTAATATAGACATAAATGTGAACAAGGATGACACATATATCCCATATGGACGCAAACGTACATATAAGGACATGCATAAAAGGTAGAAATGTAAAGATAAAAAGAGGAACGCAACCATCGTTATAAAGAAAGAAATAAAGGGTGAAAAAAAGTAAACATAAAGATTGTCACACAATTAGACATACGGGTAGATATAAATAAATGAGATTTAAACGTATATGCACAAAAGAAGACACAATCTCATGGAAAAAAGCAGACAAGAAATAGACACAAAGATAGACAGAAATATAGGAGGCGACATGAACAAGTCGTCATTTTCTTAGAGACGACAATCAAAAACCTCAATATATAATTCGAACCTAGATTAACACAGACAGTTGACAACTTTTATGGAAGAATTGAGGAGCATGCAAAATAGACAGTGAATCTTTAACACACGATGTCATAAGTTCAATCTGCTTTGTTTCAATGAAACTGATACATAATATATTATAATCGTTAACTCAATGCTCATTTATCTGTGCTGGGAAAATTGTCGCAAACATTTCACAAGTAATACCAATTTAAAACTGAAAAAATATTCAACTATATACGATTACTTTTTTTCCTTTTCGAAAGAATATTTTACTGTGGCCTCGAGATTTCATTACTCAAATGTTATATAAACGTTTATCTCTAATTCTCTTTCGACGAATTTATCCATTGCGAGATGCCACTGTGTATTAGACGTTCATTAATGATTAATTTGTCGATCTAGCAGTCAATGTGATAGTGCCATATTTTCAAAATTCTGTTTATCACAAATAAAACAATGTGCATTTTGTAATGCAAATGAAACGATCAATTTGTGGCATATACTTGTGATTAAAGCACCTTACTAACAAGGTGAGTTTTTAACAACGGTTTGTAGCAACAAGACTTTGTGGTTTTGAATGTACAGGAGAAACAAAGCGCTTCTTTTTAAATACGCCTTTTAGACTGCTTCGATAATCCACAAGCCTTAAAGCATACACAATTGGATTGACTGCAAAGTTTAGCATGGCCACCGGTAAATAGTAGAAATGAAAACTTTCCAACAATTCAACGTCTATTTTCCTACGCATAAAAACAAGTAGCAGTTGAAGGGTGAGAAAATAGGGAAATATGGTTACGAGTGCGAAAATATTTAGAATGAAGATTGTCTTTGCAATTTCAAGATGGTTGTTGTTGTGCTGGTTACCATTCTCTAGTGTTTTTCGTCGACTTTGCATTACTTCTTTAATAATAAGACACTTTAGCATAACCTGGAAGACAACAACGATTACTAAGAGAGAAACTGCAACGATCAAGATGAATGGAAACTGCCCATTCTTCAACTCTGTAGGTCCTGTTACGAGATAACTGATGGCGAAGCAAAGAGAAACTAACCAAGCTGTTGCGCATATTATGTAAGTTTTTTTCAGAGACAGCATTTGTAAGCAGCGTATTGGATACTTGGCAATTATGTAAGTTTGGATTGTGAGTGAAACCAAGTGAAAAAGTGAGCCTGTGCAAGCCAAAGTCCAGAGGAAAGAGTGGGTAAATATAAATATCTTTGACGAATGCATTTTGAAGAAAATGAAGACTCCCCGAGTAACTTGGGAAAAAGATGCTGTCAAATCAGCCATGGATAAACTAAAAATGGTAATCCACGGTCCTCGCTTTAGTTTGTGAAGAGGATCGACCAGAATGACAACAATCAGTATACCATTTGTAAAGACACCAATTGTGGACACTGCGACAGTTGTTGTTAACTGTGCACTAGAGTAAGTGTTCTGCAATTTCACCTTAAATATAAAACATAGAGTTTTAGCAAACCTGATTGCGATTTTTTACCATCTTTCATATTAGGGAAGCCTATCTTTAAAAACTATAAATCATAAATATATGTCCGTACATTTAAGTACAAACAAAAATATCAAAGAAAGCCATGGCGATCTTAAGTTGTCAAAAGGAAGTCATACAATGTCAAAATTGGTAATACCTGGAATGAATTCAGGCTGATGCCAATAATGCTTGCATCATTTGTGCAAAAGGCTTATGTTGCCGTATTCGATGGCTTTGGTATATTCATAAAAATTACTCAACATTAACGAATGTTCATAAAAATTTGGCAATTAGATTAACAAGAAAAAACTTCTCAAAATTTTTCTAATTTTCCAAACTAGAAAATTTCTCAACACAAAATTTTTGCTCATCATTAATTTCAAAAATATTTACTGTATACTATAGCTTACAAAAAAAAAGAAATCGCTATTTTCTAATGACAAATGGTACACGCTTTTGTTAAAGGAATGCCATCTGCAACCACTTTCTCTACACACAAATTCAAATATATTAAACCAAACAAATGAGAGGAGAATAGATGCAATCATATAAAGAAACAGCTTCTTCAATTTTTATATATACACTTACATTGTTTTGGTGGTACGAATTCCTGCTGCAATTTATTTCATTAATCCGAGTCGAATTACACGTTTCGTTAAAATCATCAACACTGAGAGCTGGATATATTTTGTTGAAGATGGTAAAAATAAGTAATCCATTGACATAGAAAGGATAGACGTTTTGTAACATTTGTTTAAACGTGAGAATACAGATGAAAAAACTGTTGTTGTTTGGTTTGGATCTTTAAAAGATATGCAGTCTAAAAGAGAACATGTTTTTCTATATCATTACCAATTGCGTCGAATTTTTTGTGGTAAATAAATATTTTATAATGACATATTACTTTCCAGGGAATAGTACGCTATAGCTTGTACATAGCTTAAAATATAGGACAAACAAGGTAAACCCAATAAGCTTTATTATGGTAATTCGAAATTCATGTGAGAAAGCTAACATTGTAAATTACAAGCAGTTGTAAACAGCTATGTATTAATGCGTTCTTTCTCTGAAAATGCAGCATTTTTTAACAATAGATAGGCCGTATGTGACTACGTCCGATTATGGCAGCTTGCGTAATTCACATTTTACTCTGGCACGAATTACGCTGCAAGTGTCTGTTTGACAAGCTTATTGTCTGATAAATCTTGTTTGAATTGACATTTCCTAACTTGACACTTAAAACTGCATTTGATTGGCCTAAAAAAGGTTTTATTGTAAAAACTTTAAAGTCTTGGACTCGTGACTTTTCATTTCGACATATTTTGAAACAAAAACAGTGTGTGATATATGAAACAATCAACGAACGACATAAGTTATTCTTATAAAAAAACTAAAATATTCACGACATGTGTGCACAAAAAGAAAAATTCTATAAACAAAAAATTTCGTTTTCTTTCCATGCATCCTAAAATCCTGGGTGCAACACGCTCACAAATTTAAGAGCATAGAGCTTCACACGTTAACCTTTCGGTAGGAGATATTTGCGCCTTCACACTATCCTACTTAAAGATGCCATCAAACACTTACGATGACGCAAGTAGCTTCGCTCGGGGTGCGCGGGGAGAGTGCCGTCGCCACATACGTCTAAGCCCCTGCAATGAAATCACACACAGCTTCCACTGCTCTTGACATCTACTACATCAAGTACTTGCTTTGTATGTATACATATAAGCTCAAGAGCTTAAGATGTTGTGGTGTGTTTCAAATCACTAATTTGAAAATTTAATAATTTGCAACTAAGTTGGCTAATTGCCACAAAAGCAGTGCAAGCACATCCAATTAGTTGCTACCATGACTATGACCTCTAAATATTGGTCACTGCGCATGCTCGAGCAGAAAGCACATGCTTCTTAAATTTGTACCAAGCAATTAGAATCACCCGAAATTGATGCAAATAGATCCAGCTTGTTGTTGTCATTGCAACGAAGTTGAAAAGGTGGTCAAGTGTTCTTCACTAGCTTTGATGATTTTTCGCATTATTTGTGATCAAGCAAGCTTCTTAATCAAAAATCCTTATATAAATAAATGTACTTGGAGTACTCTACTAATTCATGGTTGAATGGATTGTGCATGTGTATTTTTTTTAGTCTTGTGTTGACATGTTGACATGTTATACATTTTATGACTTGTAAAAATAGCAAGTTTGTCACTTTACCAGTGGTTCCTTGAATATTTTTCTAAGAGAAACGCATTGGGCGCAGCTAGTATAGTTAAAAGAGAATCGCAGCATGAACAATTGTATAGATACCAAAACTTGGGCATTGAAAGTCATAGACTTTGGAATAAAGAAAGAGACTGTCGACACTTGTCTTAGTCTCTTCCAGTCAAGATTACTAGTGTTACTTGTGTGAATTTTTAGCATTTGTTTACAATGGACGCATGAACTTTTCGTTAAATAATGTTTAATTATTTTAGCAACAATACATGCAAAACATGAATCTTGTGAAAATGAGTTGATTGATGTGCTATTTAAATCCATACAGTGCGCAACTGTAAAATGTTTACTGAAACTTAATACGGAAACTTAATATTGCAATTTGAAATATGTATTGTCTTAAATAATTTGATACACATTTGTGTTCATAAAAGTAGAATAGCATAATACATGATTTGTGTTCATAAAAGCAAGTATCAACATGAGACAGTATTCCTCTCAATGCTCAACTTACATGTATAGGTCGGCAAGCAATACATTTCTAATAAAAATATGCTCAGCAACGCGATAGCACACGTCATGAGAAATTATGCAATTAATATCAGACATAATAATCAAGTTTTGATCAAATTTGATCCTTTTTCCTGTTACAATTTAGGCTAAAATGGACTATTTATATTTTCTGGCGTTATGGCGTTTTGCTTACATGTATTTTGATGGTTTTTAAAATGCGACAGTATTTGGTTAAGGAGATACGATAGGATTTCACTCACCTTAGTCACCAATGCTTAATCTCTTGTTGTTTTTATATCAGATTGTTGCTGCCTGATGTCTTTGATAAGCTGCCTGATATCTTTTTTACTCCTTAATTTGTAAACCAGAAAGGCAGTAATCAGTAACCGCTTTTTCTTTGATGCTTACTGCAAAAATGTCGCTTGTAAGCGACACTACTTCGACAAAGTTGATATAATTCGCACACATGACGTCATTTCCTCTATCCTACTGGTTTTGAGTGATTATGTCATTTTTCTCAGCAATATGAGGGATCCGGTTTCAGTATTTTTACTTAATTTTCCTAAGGGATCAACATGACATGGCAGGGTGCAGTCTCATTTTCAAAGTTTGAACTTCATTTTATAGTAATTTCAGATTATGGGGAGCGTCCAAGTTCTATTATTTAAATACATATAGGGATGAAGAAAGTTTAAGGCTACGTTCACACTACACCGGTTCGCTCATCACGACATCATCGTTTGCGTTAAAGGGTAACTGTTCTGAGTAAAGACTTATTAGGTTCATGAATTTAGTCTATTTGATTATGTTTCTGACGTTGAACAACTTCACTTCCTTTTAATACAAAGAAACTCCAACCTGCTACAATAGCAATGCAATCCGGTATAGTGTAAACGGAGCGTAAGTTTGACGAGGTTGTAAAAATGCGATTCTTCATTTGATGATTGAAATATTGTAGTTAAGAGCAACATTTTTGTTTAATAATGATTTCTGCAAGTTAATTACATGTCTTTATTATCTTCTAGTAATCATAGTAGCTCAACGGTACATGCTTATGTGTTTATCAAGTCTTTTGACGGCTAATCGACAGCCTTTATGCTGTTGACCAAATGTGACAACAAATGTAATCAATGATTTCATTTTAACGCTAGTGAATAACAAGTATTTTAGTGCTACAAGCGCTAATCAAATTTTTTTAGATTTAAGTATTCATAATTTTATTATCAATGGCTTGCCGAAGGTTGTAAGAGTTAGCTATGTTAATATTGTCCAGTTTTTATTATTCGCTGCTTTTCAGCGGATCAGGAAACACCATTTACGTTGCAATTACAGCTTTTCTACAGTAAAATTCCCCATTTTGACAGTCTCACAAAGTATATCATTATTACTAGAATTTCTCAGTCAGCTAATATATTACAACATGGAAGTTAATTAATTGATAAATTCTGCTTAATTCTTTTACTTTGCCTTTCACATTTAACTTTTTTTTCTCGTCTTAATTCCTCGGTTGTTCACATTAAATGATAAACTTTAATACTACTGAAACTAGTAGGAGTGTTGTTGGCCATTGCATGATCCAAGATGAATAAATTGCATGTATTCTGTTTGCCCAAGTTGAGTCTCAAAAATGAACAACAATAATTTAATAGTTTTAAATGGAAAACATAAAATGTAATACGTTCACACAAAGTTCACAGTCACTGATCTGTAATTATCAATAGAAACTTCAACTCACTACTTATCTTCATTCATTTTTGCAATCCTCCAGATCATTAATATTCATGTTTTTTAAGCAAATACAGTTTCAAAAAATTTGGCTGATAGGTACACTAACCTTTAGCTTCCAAATCTCTGGTTATTTTTGATTTTTTGTGTTTAAATGACAAACTCATAAATTATGCATTGACTCTCAAACAGGTACACAGTAAACATCTTTTATTTTTTAAATGCAAGTCTTGCACACATTCCATACTGTTAAACTCAAGTTGATAAACCGTAATTATGAAATTCCAAGTTGATGATAAATAATCATTTCAAAACTAAAATAGAGTTTGCGTAATAAGTAACTTAAGGGTATAGGCGTAAATTCAAGGGTGTGTATTGTGAGAGTGAGAGCCTCCAATAAAGTTGGAAGGAGTATAAAAAACTTTATTTTGATGGCGATTTCACACCTAGTACAAAAAGGCCTTGTATCGATTAGCTAAGTTGTATTTTGTCCAAGTCAAATGTCTCCTCAAATTTTGAAGAATGGAAACTTGCAGGGGGTACATTCAGCTTAACGTCTAGAATGTCTAGATCTAACTAGACTGCTTTAAAATCAGTACTTACTGCCTTGAAAGGGTGTGAGCGCATTCCACCAATGATGTAACACTCAAAATCTTATCGTAAAATTACGTCGTATTTCCAGGTAAAATTATTTATTAGGTAAATTTCAGCTAAATTTTTGTTTTCATTCCCCACCCCAATCCAAGGGTACCCACAACGCCCATTGAGTCACAAAAGAGCACACACACAGGAGTGCATCAGGAAATTTCTTGGGGCTCTAATAGGTAAGTCACCTCTGACCGCCAATGTTTCACATTCCTATGCGCTATAAATTGCTAAAGCATCAAGTGCCAATAATTTAATCGTCAACGCCTTTGTTCTTGCCGCAAATATATTTGCTTTAGTCATTTAGCAGGATAAAACATGGATACAGATGGCACAGATACCGATACGAGGGCGGGAGGACGAACGGATGAGAATAAAGGAGAGAAAACGTAGATGAGGATGTGAAACATGGATGATAAAACACAAGTAAAACATAAACCAAAAATGACAATGTTACTGGATGGAATTTTATAATATGTTTGCAAATACACTCAAATTTCTTGAAACAAAACGTATCTCATGCATTACGGCGATGTTTGTTTTATTTAACTAGATGTTTTTACGTTGCCTTCATTACATTTACAATTTTAAAGATAGGTATCAAAATAGCAAATACCATGGTGAATGGTGATAATAACAATGTAATAGTTCTTAAAAGGACTGTTTTAACCAAAATACTAACCAAACAATTCAAAGGAACGTTATTTACAGTTAAAGCCCGTTTAAACGATCCAACAATGTTGGACCAACATCGTACAACATTGTTGGATGCACATTGGATAATGTTGGACGGTTGTGTTTAAACGATCCACGTACGGATCCAACAATGTTGGACCAGCATTTAACTACAAATGAATTGTGGGATACATGAGTAGTTTTATGCAGTGAACTGTCAACTATAGTTCACTGGTTTTATGTCAATGACAATTAATTACATCAACATGGTCGACGCATTTAAAAAGCGAAAACTTGCTGCAGCTTTTGCTAAATTCATCAGTCTTGACGAGCAAGAAAAGAAGCCCACTCGTGGAAAAACTCGTCGATGGATTAAAAGACGCGGAGAGATGGGTTACTTTAATACTATCGTTAGAGAATTGATGATAGAAGACACTGCGTCGTATTGCGAAATGATGCGAATGTCATATAAAGATTTTAAATACATACTTCAAGAGATTACATCGCTCATTACTCCACAAAGAATCAACGGAGGGCAAAGAGTAATTTCCCCCGCAGAAAGATTAACATTAACTTTAAGATTCCTGGCCACAGGTGAAACATTCCGAAGTATGAGCTTCCAGTTCAGAGTATGTGTGGCTGCAATATCATACATTATTAAAGAAGTTTGCAAGGCCATAATTAAGCATCTTTGACCAAAATTTTTCAAAGTTCCCTCAACCAATGAGCAATGGCTTGAAATAGCTTCTAAGTTTGAAGAAAGGTGGAACTATCCAAATTGTATTGGAGCTATAGATGGGAAGCACATTGTGATGCAGCCAGCTGCGAATGTAGGCTCCTATTACTACAACTATAAGCATACTCATTCCATTGTACTCATGGCTATAGCTGGACCTGATTATGAATGCATCTATGCTGATGTTGGAACAAATGGAAGAGTTTCGGATCGTGGAGTCTGGAAAAGTGTGGACTTTCCAAGGCAATAGAAGATGGTGCAGTGTCTCTTCCTCCACCAAAGTTGTTACATTTAGGGATGGTTGAAGTGCCTCATGTATTTGTTGGTGATGATGCTTTTGCATTGCAAAAACACATGATGAAACCTTACCCCCAACACGGCCTTACAGATGACAAGAGAATTTACAACTACAGACACAGTCGTGCACGAAGAGTGTCAGAGAATCTTTTTGGAATTATAGCCAACAGATGGCGTGTTTTCAGGTCTGTGCTTTTGCTTTCACCTAGAGCCATTGAAGATCTGGTTTTAGCTGCAATAATATTGCACAACTACCTCAGAAAGAGAACATCCTACAGTATTTACTGTCCTGTAGGAATTACAGATAATGAAACAAGTGAGGGAGAACTGATTCCTGGTCAGTAGCGCAATGACAACCATTCTGAGTCATTTCTTCCATTATCTGTACCACCAACAGGTCACAATGCTACAACCGAAGCAAAGAACATTAGAGATAACTTCAAGGAATATTTCTGCAATGAAGGAGCAGTTGAATGGCAGTGGAATTTAATTTAAAAGTTAACCATTTACCATCTTGTGAACTATGAAAATGTTGACATAGAACGGTAACTGACAATATAGTAGCTCAAACTATCCATAGTAGTAAAGCTTTTTGGTAAACTAGTTCATTGTAGTAAACTACAATTTCCTAGTAAACTACAATTTCCTAGTAAACTAGTAAATTGTAGTAAACTACAATTTACTAGTTTACTACAATTTCATTGTAGTAAACTAGTAAAGCTTTTTGTTACAATTTAATTGTTTAAGATCCTAGCCTTAAATGAAAAGTAAGTTTTACAAAGCTTTTTACATAAAAGCACATTGGAAAATTGCCATTTATGAATTTAATTTACAAATCATGGTGAAGAACATAAATTGAATATTGTTGCATTCTAAAAGCTTTGGCACATGCCTTATTCTATTCTTTCTCTAAGACAAGTTTTTTATTCAATTTCTTCCCTAAGTAAACAAATTGATGTTTCTATCTAACAATCCTCTCTTTGATGCTGTCACTTAAATTGCAGTCTAAATTTGTTTTTTAATCTCTTTCAGATATCCGAACTCTAGAAAAAAGCAATTAGTTTCAGTATTTTTGATGGGTTTCAGTTTTTTTTCAATTTTAATTTTGCATATGTTGACATTTTTTACCCAATAGCCAATAATAAGATGAATTATATAAAATAGGTATAAACATGAATAACAAATATTTTGCAGTTCGTTCTGTTCATTTAATGTAGTCGAGATCATACAAATAATATTTCAACATTGTGAATTAGTATTAAACATTCCCATAAATGATCCTTGGTTCATTGGAACACCAATGTCTCTATCCTGATGATGGATTATAGGCAGGAAAGATTGCGCACTTGACTGCATTTCAAGTTCAAAAATTATGTCATTTATTTTCTTTTCTGCTATCATCCTAGTCCTGCTGTCAAATTTGTCCAACTTCTCTGAAATATACATAGCAAAGTAGCATTTCTTTTGATCTGTTTGTGGCACAACTGGCTCCTTTAAAATTTTAACACAAGTTTCTAGGATCTCAACCTTTTTTGCTTCACTTGTAGCTCTTGAAGATTTTTTTGATGTCTCTTTTGTGATAGTCTTCACAGAATATGTCCCAAAGACAAGCTCGTTCCTCAAGCATATCTATTAATTGTTGGATGTCAGATTCGCTCCATTTTGGCCATTTTTGGCGCTCCTTTCGCTTTATATTATTTGTTGTCCTACAGCTTTCTTTCCGTGCTTTTGTTTTAGAACTAATATTGTTTTCTTCTGATTGCTCTGCATCGAAATTATAATCCTCAATCTCCTCCATAATTATATCGAAGTAGATAGTAATTCGCAGACAATCATGCATACATGAATTATGAATGTGAACATATTCATAACGCGCATGCCCCAGTCCAACAATGTTGGACGTTTTTGATAGAATTCAAAAGCCATCCAACATCGTCCAACATATTCCAACATCGTCCAACATGGTGTTTAAACGATCCTACTTTGTTGATCCAACATTGTTGTACGATGTTGGTCCAACATTGTTGGATCGTTTAACCGGGCCTTTAGAAAGAGACACTATGCATTTTGGCAGACTACTCATCAGGTGTCAACGTCTGCTAAATGAGAACCTCCAAAGCATGCTATATTTATAACGTTAGAAAAGGTCAATGTCATCCCTATTTTTAGAGATGACACTTAAAACAGAGACAGATTAAACACGTAATCCTTTTGTCGACAAAGGACAGGATTAGTCAATTTAATTAATACCGACTCCATGACGCGTAGCTGGAATAACGAGCGACATTTTTTAATAATTCTAAAGTTTTCATCAGAATAAGCATTGGCACAGCGAGTGTTGCTCAAAAGTTGTTTTCCAGTCGCTGAATCACATAGAATCGGATTTTCACTTTTACACCCACGTTTTGGTAGTTGTCGTAAAGGAACAGTTTTATTCCTGACAGAAGCTGGTACATGCTGTTTTATTCTCTCACTCAACCTTTGAGAAGTCCTACCTACATAGCGAGCATCACACTCACATTTAAACTCGTAGACTACATTGCTTGATATTTGAGCAGGGAGAGACTCTTTGGGAGTGGGTGGAAGAATAGTTCTTCTTGAGAATATAAAGACCACATTGCATGCAAAAAACAAACTCTCGATGAGATTTTTAGTTTCCCTCTCGATGTCATTAGAGGCTTTACCCATCCAGGGAAGTTTAAGGAAAACAGGGCACTTGGCCGGCCCGAAAAGTTCATTCCGTTCATTGTTAGTGGATAAGAAAAGTTTGTCTAGCAATTTCTCCGGATATCCATTTAACACAAAAATATTCTTCAGTGAGATAAGATCACTATCAATAAACTCCTTTGAGTACAATCTATACGTTCGCTTTATCAAACACTTCACTAAAGAAATCTTTTCTCTATGGAAGAGAAAGAGTCAAAGCGTGTGTACAAACCAGTGAAAGTTGCTTTGCGATGAATGCTTGTTAAGAACTGACCATTGCGTTTGTGTACAAGAACATCTAAAAAGGATAATTGATTGTTTGACTCTAGTCCAGAGGTGTAATTTAGTGCAGGGTGAAGAGAGCAAAGTTTATTAAGAAAAAGTTCACGATTTTTATCGTTATGAAACAAAATACATGAAATAGAAAAAAAGTTATATCGTTGCCAAATGATGGTGCTCACAATTCCAGAAGAGAAGTGAATGGGGAGCATAATATACACTGATATGGGACCGTGGTAACCCAAGGAGGCAATGAACAAGTGGAAACAAATGAGTCAACAGGTACAACAATAAGTGTGAAGCAGTCCATTCCTGTGGAGTCTACCGAACCGATACTTCGAAGGTCAACAAGGTTGACTAAGAAACCGGATAGAGTAATATATTGCATTAGTTAGCATTGACACTTAATTTTTTTGTTATTGAAAAGATGTTGTATATTAGTAGTTTAAATTTATGAGTGGCCATCTTCTTTAACGACTTGCGGAACAGTTTAAAAAAAGTATTTCCTTTGTCTGTCACATGCAAACTTCATATTAATATATCAACTCGTTTTTCACCTTTGATCTGCCGATAAAAATGAGAATACAACTTAAGGTCGTAGCGAAAGCTAATTTATTGCCCTCCTTGTTATCTGCATAAATTGAAACTTTCATTAGTTCAAACTATCTGAAAATATAGAAGTATTTCGAGGTTTCATAAAAGACTGATAAAAATACAGAGAATAACTGCGAAATGCTTTGAAAAAAATAAATTGTGCTAAGTTTGCTAACTGACATAGGAAATTTATAAGGACAATTTTTGCACGCACGAGACATTTGAAGCAGACACAAAAACCGAAATTTTGTACAAGCATCGTTAAAAGCGAATGAAGCAAGACTTTGCAGGTCGCAGGTCATGGATCACGGTTTTTAAAACTGTAACCATTTATTTTATTACCATTACTTTAATTTTGTCAAAAAAAATCTTGAAAAATTGATATTTGTTAAATATTTAAACGTATACTTTTATCATGCCATTTCTCTGATATAGCTAATCACAGAAATATTTCAATAGTTGTGTCAATGGCACTCATGAATTCAAGTGAAACGTTTATAAGCTTTACGAAAATTAGCAAAGACTGACGTGTTCAATCTTTTGCAAATCTTTCGTAAATCTAAATAACATTCATAGTAATTCTTCGAGACACTTTAAGTCAATTTCTACTTCTTTTTTTCGATGTCCTGTAGTATGAATGATGAGTAAATAATTCGAGGAATGTTTACAGCAAATAAGATTGTCTTGAAATTTGGCAATGTTAGCCTATATTTTAGGGAGGTTAAGTTTTCTCCATTACAAATTTTGTGGCGCTAAATCCCATCTACTTTTTACTAAAGTAAATAGTTTGAACCCGGGAGTATCGTTACTTGTTTGTAAATGTAGATCGCACAGGTTGGTATAATCCTGAGAAGGACTGTTTTTGTTGTTGTTGACGGACGTTTCGACAACTTTAGTGGTAGTCATCTTCAGAGACAAATGAGGAGGTTTGAGTAGGTCTGAGACAGGGGCGGATCTAGGATTTTTCAAACATCAGTCATAAAACATCAGAGGCACTCCGCACCTGGGGGGGTCTGAGGCTATCTCTCCTGAGAAATTTTGAATTTCAGAGCCTTAAAAATGCCATTTTCAGCGTTTCAGAGCATTACAAAATGTATTTTGTGGGCATCGTTTTTGCATAAATACAACACATTTTGGTTACGTTTTTTTTAAAAAAAAATGAAGTGAACAATACTTGAATGTTTTGCCTAATATTTAGGCTCATTATTATGCCAAATATATGGCTCATTAGCATGTCTAGGAACGTAAAATTTATTTTACAATAATGCTATATTCAAAAACAGATATAGCCTTTAAAAATTTCTACCAAGTTGTCAGGCATAGACCCCCCTAGAGACCCCATTCAAACCTCTATGTAATGAGTTAAGTTAGAAATTTGGTACTATAAGTGACAGTTCATAGATATAGAAAAGCTCAGACTTCAAACCATGCACGTTTATTGTAACCCTTTACCCATCTCCACATCAGTATTAGCAAATTCACCTTTTGAGGAAAAACTCAAAATTTTTTTCTGCCAAAGCTTAAGCAAAAATTATCAGAGTGAAAATTTGCAGATAAGGACAGCTGAATGCCATAAATGTTTATTAGGCATTTCACTTGACTATTATCTTCTTCAAGGTGTGCTATATAGCAATCACTAGTAGCATTGTATTATCAATTACAAACAGAATGTAACCAACATGTCTTTAATTATATAATTACATGAATGTTAAAATTGGTTCATGTGTCATGCTTACTGGTTATGATAAATATCATTTCATATGATCAAAGCTCATTTAAATGTAAATCTGAAATAATTTAGTTTAGAAATTATAATGATCATCAGAAAAATTACCTAGTGATCATGAAAATACTTTGCTGTTTTGCCAAATTTCAAGGTTTATCTGCATACATAGGAAGACATTTTTACTTTATAGAAAATGCTTTTCATACATCAATAGCCCTTTGGAATTTATGGCAAACAATCTGGTATGAGCCGTAGATTAACACAACTTTACATCTCTACATGAGGTGTTCAGTTAGAAAAGGGGACAATATGTGACATGGGACAACATTTCATGTATCTGAAATACTAAGGTTTAATACCATTCCAGTCAAATTGTCAAAATAAAAAGCTTCATGGATCAGAAGACTCAAAATCACAGGTTATAGTAAACAGCTTCTCATGTAATCAATGTTAGTTTTCTCAAATCTTAAACAATATGTAGTATAACTGTCTAATGATTGAATGATCAATGATCATAAACTGAAAAGCCCCAAACATTTGTTTATGATAAAGTAAATAACAGTATGGCGCCTTATGGCTACAGATTTTTTGTCCATTGAAATATATTTGCAGGAATGTAGGATTTCGCTGCCATATACGGTCACGATTCCCTAAGCACTAAAGAAATCATAGCTAAAAGTCCTTCGGCAACAACAATTTTAGGGGCTGATTACATGAGCCCGGATAACCGGGACTCAGTCAAGCGTTAAATGATTTTGGCAAATGGAAACGATTCAATACTCTTCATCAGATAAATCTTTTCTGGCAATTTCACAATATTCTGGTTTGATAACTACACAAAACATTTAAAATTACAACAACCAATTTGGTTTAATTTGAGAACTACAACAGGAATGACTTGTGGTGCTTAAACAAACAGTTGTAATTTTTACGGTTGAAGTTTCGACTCCTTTCAATACCTCAAAATCATTTCACGCCTCACTGAAACTCGGCTAGCCGGGATCAGGTAAACAGCCCCTTAGAAGCATCTATCTGCTTACCATACACCATATTAACATAAATCGCATCACACACTCGCATAAATTGACTTTGATATATTACATTCATGCATACACTTCAGTTGTCCTTTACTTACGATTTTGGATGTAAATTTCTGCTGATAAAACTCAAAACAATGTTGGCTTGCTTTTGAACATCAATGACTGAAATGTCGCTCGCGAGATCGTCTTTGCCAAGCATTTACAATTCATCCATAAATTTTTCGCCCTCTTGAAAAAATTCCCAGTTTGGTAAAGCAGCATTCATGTCAACATATGAATTTGTAAAGATTTCCATAAATTCCATCTGATTGTAGTTTAGTTTCTATCATGCTTTAGAAAATTATTATGAAACGATCAAACATTCAATTCAGACAGTGAGCTTGACTATGTTAGTTCAGTTGGCTATCAGTCGAAATAGGTCAAACCAATCACAGTAAGACAAAAATTTAAACGAACCAATTACACGATAGCAAGTGGACTCCTTATAGGTCCGGCCACCCTATTATCGGTCGAGATTATTCCAGACTGTCCACTGATCTGGCCATTGACCAATAAAATAGCGTTTCTGGCGTTCATAGACTCCTTTATAAGTCGAACCAGTCAAGCCACCCCGCTTATCAGTCGGTTATTCCAGGTCAATTAAAATTCAACTGATCTGGTTACCAAGGAGATATTCATTGGATTAGTCATTAGTTTTCAATAATAATAAAAAAGCTGGATTTTTATCACGAAGTAAATGCGATAATAAAGTAAGAATAATTAATGATTTTTAACTAATATGAATAGGTAATTTTTGAGTTTCAAACATCAGTCGCGCGACGGATTTGACATACTCTAGATCCGCCCCTGGTCTGAGACTATATCAAATGAGGAGGTTTGAGACTATCTCGCGTATCTTACGACCATACAACATACGTGTCGCACATAAACCAATCACAACCTTACGACAAGTACTAACGAACATAAAGGATAAAGAACAACCCAACGAACAACAAGGTGCAGTTTACAAAATAAACTGCTCCGACTGCCACGCCTCCTATATTGGGAAAGCTGGCAGGAACTTAAACATAAGGCTTATTGAACACAAACGAGCTACTAAGAAACAAGACAAAACTAATCACATTGCCCAACATCACCGAATCACAAAGCACAACATTGACTGGGACTCGGCAAAATGCATCACTTACAGTACTGACTCTAGACAACGGCTTACATTAGAAAGTTGGTATACCAACTTGGAACAAACCCCCTGAACAGATCACAGCAATTACCGGCACCTTACAAACGACTTATCCACAATACAAACAAACGATCAACTAAAACATTAAACTTCACACTAATTCACAAATACACAATTGCCACCCACACATTACAACTAAAAACATCACACCTAAATCACACTTCACAACTAAAAACATTTCACTTCACACTAATTCACAATGACAATACACAATTGACACCCACACAATTCCTGTACACACAATACAATGACGTAAGAACCAGATAACAAATACGGCAACCTGACGTTTACTCTTCACTTGACTCTGAAGACGACTACCGTTAAGGTTGTCGAAACGTCAGTCAACAAAAACAAAAACAGTCCTTCTCAGGACTATACTAACCTGGACAATGTACATCTACTTTTTAATGTTGTAAAACACATTATTATAACAATTCTAATTGGTCATTTATTATTCTTTGTGAGCATGTTAAAAATTATTGAAGAATTTTTCCTACCGATTCACGTTACAGTTAAGCTACAACAATATATTGTATAACGATTAATTCATGGACAATAAATTTAATTGTGCATGTAAAAATCATTATTTGCAGCCAGTTGTATTACGAAAATTGAATTACAAGAATTAAACCAAAAAAATACACGACGAAGATTACTATAAAGAATACTAGGAAAAATCTATTAAGAACTTTAATTTTATAACGCCGTTCTTCTTTATTTGCCATCTAAGAAGTATAGAAAGACAACTCAACAATTGAAATGCAATGAATGAATGAAATTTATCATAAGTCATAAAATATTGGGTTGCAGTAGGGTTGGGGTAGGGTTGGGGTTAGAGTTAGCATTAGGGTTATGGCTACGAAGAAAAAAAAGAAGAAAAAAACGAATACCTGATTTTCACATTGTGAATAATTATCCTTCTTTTTGCAACATGGAATCAAGTTCCATAATTTACAATTACGTCTCGTATTAACCTACAAAATTCTGGCACATTTTCATTTTCCTGGTAGTTGTTTAGATGCATTATAAAGGCAGTTGACAATAATTGAAGTATTGTGTAGATTTGGGCGTAGATGATGAATTCGGTAATCAAAGGAATACTGTCGGATGTCGCTGGCGTTCTCTTGCTCACAACGATCAAAAATAAGAACTGGCCTGTTAAGGCTGTGACCCCAATGAATATCCTCTGGTTAAAGTTGGTAGGAAAGCAAAACACGATAACATTCAAAATATTAGCACTAATGTTGGTGAGATTATTAAGTTTCGGTAATATCTTGGTTTTCTTTGAAATTCAAAAGTATAAATTATGTTGTGGAATGGAAATTCGCAGCAGGTATAGTTAATGAAACCAGTACTAACTTGGTCTAACTTAATATTCCAAACGGAATTTTTCTCCAGGTGGCTCATAATGATACCTTCTGTGGACGGCTCTAATCGTAAATCGATACCAGAGCTATCGTATGCCCAGGAGCCAATTTTCAATTGACATTTTTGAGTATCGTATGGGAACTTATGAACGTTCATAGGACATACTGATTCCAAAATAAGAGGACATAATAATTTGACGTTACCATTAGATTTTACCCTGGCTTTATAGCTTAGGTCGAGCATCTTTCCTCCTTTCTTATTGGCACTAAAAAATTATATTATTCAGATAACAAGAGCTATTTTCTGAGTCCTTTAAAGACTAATACCTTATGCAATAATTTATCAGCAAAATCTAAAAATTTTACTGAAAAATCAAAGATTCAAGTCGTTATTACAGTAGCATATATAGACCTGTTAAAATGACTATGAATATTTCTAAATTTATATTAGATATAAGTGAATCATATTTATAATTTTATAATTTTATTATAACTTGTCTATGTGTATGATTTATATTTATAATTTTTATTTATACCATATAATTTAATAATTTTTACTTTCTTATTATTAATATTATTTTATTAATTACTATTATTATTATTATTATTATTATTATTATTATTATTATTATTATTATTATTATTATTATTATTATTATTATTATTATTTTTAAACACTGATATTTTTAAACACTGATTTTAGTCATATTTGATTTAGTTTTTAACATTTATATTTGTAATATATAATGATCATAATAAAATACGTTTTACATTTTTCATTATTATTATTATTATTATTATTATTATTATTATTATTATTATTATTATTATTATTATTATTATTATTATTATAGAAATATTATTATAATCCATATAAATAGAAGTAGTTTTCAACATTGTAAGATGGAAGTTGAACAATAACTATGATTTTTAAGTTATCTGTGATATCTCTACTTGTTGGTGTCAAAGGTTTTGTATTCTATGGAGGGATAAATACAAAACCAAACATAAGGCATAAGGACAATGTCGCTCTTCTGTAATAGGACTAAGTAGCTAATAAGAGTGTTTTAAAAATATATTTTTAAATGTATTGCGCACGTGGTTAATATTTTTGGACACCTATAACGCACAGATATTTTATCTAGGGCAGTTGAAAACGGAGGTTGTTTGAATACCCTGACGCCAAAAATGTCGGGTGCCCTTTTCCCGCTTTTTGCTACACATTTGTTCTACATTTCTTAATGTGTTCAATTTTTGAACATGTACAGCGTTTATCGTAATTAAACGTTCTATGTCGTAAACAATTTCAGATTGCATTCACACTCAAGCTAACTTTTTCTTTCATTGTCGCCTGACGAAAAAATTAACGATGTGATGCAGAGATGACATGCTCATGTTCATGACAATGTGCATTGAATTCTTATGCTGAAATCATTTGTAAATATCTTATTTAATATGAAAATACGACGTTGTTATTCTTGTGAAGAGTCAGATTCAAAGGTGAGTTTTATGTTGAAGCCTTATATATACACATGTTAAACTTACTTATTCTGTATGCCAAGTTTATAATTTTTATTAATGGTACATGTTTTCATTTCTAATAAATCAAAGCAGTTTTATGTTCACGAAAAGAATAAAACAATGAAATATAACTCAACAACATTCGCCAGTTTTATTCCGCGTTTTATCCCCCATTCCGTTTTGCTTCTGCATTTCGAATCCGCATTCCGCTTCCGCGTTTTATCGTTACCCGTCAATACTATCTGTAATTTGTAAATAACGTAACACCCCTAATCACAACATAATTTTAAATAACTATCGCTTCCATCTCTTATGTCCATACATTTGTCCTGTATCATATTTTTTATATATTATCTCTATGTAAATATTTCATTAATTAAATTACCCAGAAGATGGCATAAGTTTGCCGAAACATATTTGCAATAAAAAATTTAAAAAAAATGTTGGATACGTTAAATGTATCATTATTATTATTATTATTATCATGTTTGTAGATGTACATCGTGCAGGTTAGTAGAGTCCTGAGAAGGACTGTTGTTATTGATGTAGACTGACGTTTCGACAACCTTAGCTGTAGTCATCTTCAGAGTCAAATGAGGAGTAAACGTCAGGTTAGCCGTATTTGTTATCTGGTTCTTATATTATCGTATTTTGTGTATAGGAAATATGTGGGTGTATGGGTAACAATTTTCTATTGTTATCGTAGATTGGTCTAAAGGCATGAGTTAGTTGCTTCTTTGTTTGTATTGTGAATGAGTCGTTTGTAAGGCACCGGTAATTTTTGTGATCTGTTCAGGGAGTTTTTTTCTAAGTTGGTATAGCAACTTTTTAATTTAAGCCGTTGTCTATAGTCAGTGCTGCAAGTAGTACATTTTGCTGAGTCCCAGTCAAAGCCTTATGTTTAAGTTCCATCCAGTTTCCCCGATGTAGGAAGCGGGACAGTCGAAGCATTTTATTAACTGCATATTGTCGTTTGTTGGGTTGTTTTTTGTCCCTGATGCTCGTTAGTACTTGTCTTACAGTTGTGATTAGTTTATGTGCGACACGTAAGTTGTATGGTCGTAAGGTACGCGAGATAGTCTCAGAAGTACTTTTGATAAAAGGTATTGTTGCTGTTGTTGTTGAGTTGTTCGTTTCGTTCGATTCATTGTGTTTGTAAGTGTTGCGTTTGATAAAGTCAGAGTTATAGTTGTTTTTATTAAAAACACTTTTGAGATAGTTTGCATGGCAATTCCATCAACTACAACAGAAACGGGTGAGCCCATTGTTGTTCCGTGTAATTGTTTGTAGTGCGTACCATTGTATTTGAAGTAAGTCGAGGTGAGAAAGAGCTCCAGTAGCTCCGTAATTTCTTCTGTGGGTAAAGGAAGTACGTCTGTGGTATTTCTAATAGAGTAAGTTCGTGGTATTTGTAATGGAATACTGGTGAACAATGATTTCAAGTCATTGTTCACCAGTATTCCATTACTATATAGTTGTATGGTATTTGTATAGTGCTCAATTTTTCAATGAGGATTTCAGGGGATTGTAGCTTGTGTTGCAATTTGCATGTAATCGGATGCAGTAAGCCAATCAAGTACTTTGAGAGTTCGTAAGTAGGCGAACCATAGAATGATACAATTGGTCGCAAGGGTATATGTGGTTTATCACACTTCCTATATCAGGGAGACTGGCAGGAACTTAAACATAATACTTCATGAACACAAACGAGCAACAGAGAAACAAGACACAACCAATTACATTGCAAAACATCACCGAATGATAAAAAACAACATTCACAGGGATCCCACAAAAATGTATTACTTACAGCACTGACTATTGACAACGGCTTACAGTAGAAAGTTGGTATACCAACTTAGAACGAAACTCCCTTAGAACAGAACAGATCACAACAAATACCGACGCCTTACAAACGACTCATTCACAATACAAACAATCAAGCAACTAACACATTACTTTTGACTAATCCACGATGACAATACACAATTGATACCCTCCACATATTTCCTGTACACACAATACGATGACGTAAGAAACAGATAACAAATACGGATAACCTGACGTTTAATCCTCACTTGACTCTGAAGATGACTACCGCTAAGGTTGTCGAAACGTCAGTCAACAACAATAAAACAGTCCTTCTCAGGTTTCTACTAACTTGGACGATCTTCATTCACAAACATTACGATACTCCGGGGCTCAAGCTATTTACTTCATTATTATTATCATTACTATTATTATAATTAAAATATAAGTCTAGATTCAAGAACATTCTATGGTCCATTTCCAGCCAACTTACTTATTATATAGTGTCAAGTCAGGTGTCCATATTTTGGATGAGCTGATTTCAACGTGCTTGTATCCATACTTGCTCGCATTCCACTTCAAATTAACATCTGTCCAATACTGAGAACAAAAAAGGTCAAAAACTGTGTGTTTGAACTTGTGTTTCTTTGCAAACAACCACTGCATACAACAGATATATATTTAGCAAAAATTGGAAAACGAACTAAAATTAATGAATTATCTCTTAAAAGAAATTGTACTGATTGAAATGTTGTAGTTATGTTGTTATATTGAACGTTAACAATTTATACGTGAAACAATCAATTTAATACCGGTTAAAATTTAGCGAAGAAGATATTTACGTTGTCTTGTAAATAATCCTGAGTTTTGAGTTTAGTTTTTGATGTGAATGATAACAGATTGTATGATTAGAGAAAAGAATTTAAAAATTAGCAGTTGCAACGTTCACTTTGTATGAATAATAGTAAGCAATTTATGTGCTTCAATAAAAATATAGAGAGTTTGGAAGAAACTGGAAATTGCGTGGCAAGCACGAGCATCTATCTTGTTTTTAAAGCGTTGTAGACACTTGAGTTTCGTAAGCATTTAAACAATCAGCAGCTCTATAATTTAAAAAAGCATTTTATCATTCGTATTAGCTACTTTAAGTATTCAATTTAATGTGCTTGACTAAAACTTTATACATAATATATATGATTATATAAATTACCGCACGTGCCCAAACTAAGGATATAGCGACTTGAGTTGGTTCATTCTAAAGATAACATTGCATATATTAATAAATAGTTCTTAGCACTTTCATTCGTCACAAAGCAAATTTTCAGCAAGCTTTTTGTAGTAATTTTCCTGAGTAAATTATGTACAAGTACTTACTAAATTTTGCAGTTGTTTGTAAGTCATTGAAAACCAAACTTTGACGGGATTAGAACCATTGTTAAAAGGCCTTACATCAGCATTGTAGTTTTTCATCAAATCTTTAATTAAACTTGCCCTCTCGTACCCAATAACAACGTTTGCTATGAACAAAAATTCAAACCATCAGGCGATATCTTGGATATTCAAGTCAAATTTGGTTAAATTTGTGTATTATTTTGCTAAATAGTTGTAAAATACAAAAAAAAATTCACCACAATACAATCAAATATATGTGACAATACATAGTTAAAGAATAAGAAATATGCATAACATAAGCACCTCTATTGAAAATCTTTTGTGCCATATCTTATCTTATCAATTACCGGCACCTTACAAACGACTTATTCACAATACAATAAGAAAACGAGCAACTAAACACATTAGACTTACAGAACACAAACGAGCTACAACGAAACAAGACAAAACTAATCAAATTGCCGAATATCACCGAATCACAAAGCACGACATTGACTGGGACTCGGCAAAATGCATTACTTACAGTACTAACGAACATGAAGGACAAAAAACATGGGTTGCAGTGTGATTGTTGTAGTGTAACGTTGTGATTGGACTATAAACAACGGCTTACATTAGAAAGTTCGTATACTAACTTCCGCGATACCGCGATCAAACCATTTATTTTATTCTGTGATGTTTGGCAAAATTTAAAGGCTGTCCATCTTGACAGGGCATTGTTTGTTGTTAAGAATGAGACTTTAGAGATGGAAGAATGACTTGACGTCCAGAAGATATCAGAAACTGATAAAAGCATTGTGAGATTCCATATCGACAACAACACTTTCAAATAAGAAGTTCTCTTCTTGTTGGCCAGTGGGATACTATTTGTATTAATGTTGTGATGTTCCAAATATATCATGGTTTCTTTGAAACTCAAAGCCCTCATTTATTGATACCGAACTGTTTCAAAATCCTAAAGAATTGAATTTTACATCTGCGAAAATATGCATAAATTTACAAAATTCGTTACCCAATTCCGACGTTCATAAAAAAACGCTTCTTTGTTTCCACATTCTTGCAAATTACAAGAAAATCGTGATTATATTTGCTCGGAGAAGTCGAAATTTGCCAAAATTGTCATGTATATTTGTGGAATATAACAAGTTCTTATCAAGGTACAATGTAATAAACGTTCTATTCTTGAAAGGGAGTAATAATCCACACGCAAAAAATAGCGTAATTTGAGCTTAAATATTTCACGATCTAGGACAAATCAAAAAAATCTCCACAGCATAGTTGAAAAAAAATAGTCAATATATGATATTCAAATGTTGTTTTCTTAAAAAAATCAATAAAAATAACAACAACTTCGTTTAACAAAGTACTTTGTTTTGTTCATGTTCTAGTTTTTTAACGCATTCTGATTGGCGAATAACACAAAAATGTAAACAAAAGCGCTGATTGTTTTAACATTATTGAGCTTTCTTTTGTTTAATAATATATGGCTCATGGTAACAGAAAGAAAAAGTTTAACCTGGTTCTGTTGATGTTGAGAAGACAAGAAATATAGCTACAGTTAGGATGCACATTTAAATAATTCTTGTGACGTTGAGACATAAATACACCATTCTTCAATAAGTCTTACCACCAAATTAGCTCTGTCATACTTTTGGAGGACCTGTCCCTTTTATTCTCAAGATGATAATTCTCAGCTTATTTCACTGATGTGGCATTCAACATTGAATGAACTGTAGTTTTTATTATTTATGAAAACATTATTATGATATGAATTTGCCATTGTTGGCATGAGATTATACATGAAGAGATCAATTGTCTTGTTGCATGTTGATGCTATGCATTCACTTTTTATGACACTTATTAAATATCCAGCAATAAACAGTGTGAAATTTTAATGCTTTGGTCTTATAAAAATACTTAATGTTTTTATTAAATGTTTTTTTGCAAGATTAATGTTTTGGTGGTCAAGGCTGAGAACCTCACAATGACCATTTGACACCAGCATCTTGTGTAGTTAACATTGGGTTTAAAACGCTGAGATTATTTGGACCATTGTCGCTAAGATACATGTATAATAATGTAATTTGAATGAGTTGTTTCCACCTTTTTGCACAGTGTGTTTTAGGGTATCACTATCCATAAGTTGTTAATTTCTCTGACTAAGCAATTTATGACTACCAGAATTTAATTTTTTTTTTGTATGTGCAATATACAGTAGAGTTATTTCACAATAGTTTAAATAACTATAATCATGGTAGAACATATATATCTGCTTGCATAAATTGACAAAGACAATATTTCATTACTTATAAATAGTTGATTGATTTAAGTCAAGATTTAAAATACAATAACACATTTTATTGGGAATTTTGAATATGAAAACACACAATATAATACAATTTTATGTTTGACTTTGCCCAAGAAAAATTTGGTGGCTATTGTTAGCATAAGAGCTTCCAGTTTCCATAGAAGTTGCACTAATACAATGACAAAATAGTGTTGAATGGAATAATTTTTCTTTTAAATGACCAATTTCTTAAAAAATCGTGGTTTATAAAGTGTCCAAATTTGAATGGTATAGAATTTTTCGTTATTTTAAGTCCGTGATGCTTTAAAGAATATTAAGTTTGCTCAAGTACGTTGTGGATGAACAAAGTCAAACCACAAGGACAAAGTAAGAAATTTATGCGATAAATAAGCGTCAGTCATTAACAACAACAACAGTCCTTCTCAGGGCTCTACTTACCTGGACGATCTACATCTACAAAAATGTAACGATACTCCCAGGTTCAAACCATTTATTTTATATAGCATCAAGTTGCTTAACAAAGTGGTGCTTCTGTATATTCCTTTTACGGTAATATCGTGTCAATCATTATTTTTTCAGAATATGAGCTGTGCATTGATATCAACGATAGTAATGCTTGAAACAATCCACGAAAGATTTTAAATGATTCAATAGCTTCGTGCCAGTCAGGCGAGTTTAAAACAGTCTCGTAAAACGACAAGAAAACAAAACGCCGTTTTAAAATTGTGCTTACCCTCCGTAGCCTGAGTAATTACACAAACGTATTTTTACAGCTTTACAACAAATAATGTTCCAATTAAGCCCAATTAAACCTCTTGTGCTCGCTGTAGTTAAAGGGATTCCGTACACAACAGATCTGGCTGTGATATAGCCTACACTTATTTGAGCTCTTAGTGTACCCTGTGGCAAATTTGTGAAAATGCATGTAAAATCATTCTGAAAATAAATTTTGTTACAAACTGAAAACAAACATGTCTTAAACGGTTAACCAGTAGCTAGTTACTCAAACAAGATATATGTGGGAAAAAGAACGAATTAAATAAAAAAAACTCGTTGCAATACCTTCATTTAGCAAAAAAAATATTATAGGTATAAGCAAGCCACTGTCCATGAGCATCGCGACGGAATTCCTGAAAATCATTAAAAAATCCGCTAGCACTATGGTCTGTTATATTTTATAAAGTTTACTATCGTAAAAACTCATTGCGTTATAAACGATATGGCAAAAGTTATTTGTACCAGCTTATCTAATCTTATAATTTTCTCCAATAAAAACAAATAGTTTCGTGACATAAGCTTTTCAATAAAATAACATATTAGCTATGTCCGATCGCGTTAAAGTCAAACAAACGAAGAGGCGTGGAGTTACACTAAATGTCAAAAGTGTCTGAAGCGTCAGTAGTTGAAATGAGAAATGATAGAAATACAGCAAAGTTTAGTTGTCGCAGATACAACTAAAATATTCATGTAAAAGTGATCGTGAAAAAAATGCTACGTTTTATGAATATATGAGTTATCAAAAAAGCTTGGCCTTTGTTATTATTGGAAACTAGTTAATGTTAATGCAGCACTGTTATTTCAAGCATATAAACACTAATTTGAATGTCAAAGCCTGAACATTATATTCCATACGTTTACACACTTACCTTACTATACGCCCTTGCTTTAAAATGTTGCACTGTGATAATGCTCACCAAATGACACCGTCTAAATAATATTAGAAAAAAACTTTGTTTTTCAGTAAACTTTTCAAGTTCACAATGAGCATTGCTGCTCTCACCGGCAATTTATATGGCCAACGAATTCAATAAATTTGGTTTTAACAATTAGGTAACGATGACTCATAGGGTGTTTGCACCTGATAGGAAGTTATACTCCCCAATGCAAATTTCTCACTATACGTGTAGGAGTTCAAATAAAAAAACATCATGAAAATCAAAGTCAAAAAATATTTTTTCATGTTCTTGGTGCTTCTGCTCAATCAATTCCTAAGTCGAAACACTCAATTAAAATCTGTTTTAAACTGTATGGTTTTTCCTATAAAAGACATTTTGCCTTTCCTTTGCATTTGCCTTTGCACATCAAAGAAATTTGTCTTCATGTTTGACAACTGGCAAATCTTTCCATTTAAAAATTCCAATGCAACAACATCATAAATTACACTGTCATGACTTACGTATTTGAGTGTGTGGTGATGGAATTTAATTCCAAATGGCGAAAATGTGAATTGATAATTATATTTATTCCGACTAAAATTGATTACTACGAATCGATTAGAAGGACAAAAAGGCTAAAGATAGAGTTAAATCTAAAACCTAACTATCTCGTTCTGATATTTAATACATATTGTTTACTTGTCCAATAGCAAATAAACAGCAACCACAAAAAATTATCTCATGTTTTATGATTCAATAAGTCGGTTGCATGTTCAATTTTGCTTCTTTCTTTGTGATCAAAAGGATTCTAGGGGTATTTAGAAAGAAGACTGTGAAAAAATCGCTGGAATCCTTTTAATGAGCTGCAAAACGACTACAATAGACAAAGCGCATTTGAGTGCACTATAAAATCCCATTTTTTTAGCGTTATCCTGGTATCCAAACAAAGATTGCTCTTTATGAAGAAAAAACAAAATACTATTGTTGCAAAAGCAAATGCTTTTATTTGCATTCCTTTGTCAGAACATAATACCATAACTATGAGCAAGGCTGAGAGACTATCACGAAATCTTACAAAAATGGAAATATTTAAATCAAACCTAACAACAAACTATGGTTAGATATGTACAAAGTAGCCGCCTGTGTCAATCATCGTATTTCAAAATTGAAAACATCAGTTGTATACTTCATCTACAGGTGATAATAACTGTACTTTCTGAGCAAAGCAAATAAAAATATAGAGAATGAAGGTAAGGCACATCACTCGGATCAGGGAAATAATATTGCCACAAAAAGATTTTCCTTATTTATGGCCTCTGAAATGCAAAAAAATCTTCTTGTAGATGTATTATAGGCTTTGGCACTCTGTCACATAGATAATCTTCAGTAGGCGTTGTTATACCCATCTCACAATCAATTTGAAGATTCTTGGGAAACTCTGATCAAAATAAAATTTACTGTAGTACTGTATTTGAATGCCAAAAATAAGAACTTCAAAAGCTGCAAACAATGAAACATGATAACGAACAAATTTTTATTTTTAGCTGACAAAATTGATTAGTTCTAATTTTAACAAATGTTGTTGACTTGGTGAAGTCTATTTGTCTTGGCACCTGTTTGGAAGGTATGCCCGTGCAGTTATTATACCATATATGTACAAATCAAAATCAATAAAATAGCGTGCAATTGACTTTCTAATGTGTTTTCATGTTCTAGATATTTCTTTCTTATCAGTTCCTAAACTTTGTCAGTAAAATTTTAACTAAGCTGTCAAATTAAGTTTGCTTTCCACTGCAACATTTTACTGATCAAAGGATAAAGTTTTATAAATCCGACAACAGAAAAACCTTTGTGTTAATGTGACTGATAGAACGACTCTATAAAAATGCGCTGTCGGTAAAAAAATTACATTATTGAACAGGTTGCAATGGAATGCAATTCCAAATAAAGATTGTGTAAATGAATAACCCCCAACAAATAATTGCGTTTAATTTTGTATACAAGGCAATAAGCTGTGGGTTAAATTGCGCTCTATTCAATTTGTTCGAAACAAACCTCGGGGTATTTAAAATACAAACAGTGGAGAAATGTCTGGACTCCTTTCAAGAGTTATGGTGACCTATTACTGCAAAACTAATTTTCATTTAATTTTCTAAATCTCTTTTATTTATTCACATCTTTTTGGACATAAGAGTTTCTGAAATTAAATTAAAAACATTTCTACGTAGCCCAGACCCACAAGCTACCAAGTTTTGCATTTGGTATTTTCATTCAAATCTTGCGAAGTCATGCAATTATGTTGTAAGACATCACTAGAAGAGATATTTAATAGGTATGCTGCGCTTGTAAAATTTAGAACTAACGACAAAAGACAATGGCAATTGCTAATAAATAAAGAGTAAGAACACTGCCGAAGGAAGACATCTGCCGAAGAGAAGCTGAGGTGGATAACATTGACAGAGTTCATGAATAATTCTTGATATCATACGAAACACGAATTCAATAATTATTTTATTATACACCGAAGAATTATCAAAACATATCAATATAGAACATTTTTGGTATCAAAAATTATCAAAACATGTTAAAATAAACATTTCACATGATTATGAAACGTCATAACCTGCAGATATCAAGAATTATCTGCAGGTAGTTGACCAATCACAGCCGAGAATGCCAACATAGTGAATAATATTAGCATACGTCACGTTAACAAAAGTTCAATATAATAGTGCGTTTTTATGGGTTATGCGAAAGTACATCAAAGTGCGTATTCCATTAGACGAAACGACTGTACAGATATATTCTGTAAAATCGATAAAAACAAACGTCCTTGCGTATATTATGTGTACTCAATCTAGCCATAATATTTATATATTAGTGAACATTATGAATACGCTGAGCGTGATGTTATGAGAAGTCAAAGAATTCTTGACTTGCAACCATTCTCTTGAAATGTACCCAACAATGTTACACGCCCACGACGGCTAGTGCCAACAATAACACTGATAAAATATTCTTTTGTATCATACCACCAAGATGGCTGAATGGCAAGTCAAGAATAGTTGCCAAACTTATATATTTAAAAAACGCCGTTGCAAGAACCGATCGAGTCTATTCCATATTAATAGTTTCACGTCTCCTTAGTAAAAAGTAGAAAAGTTGGAAAACTGGTTTGTAAGCGAAGTATTGAGAAATGTACCGACTACCGAGACTAGTACTTCTCATATCGATCGTTTTATTTACGTTTGTAAGCAAAGTATAGAGAAATGTACCGACTACCGAGACTAGTATTTCTCATATCGATCGTCTTATTTACGTGTATACTCATCAGCGGAAACTAATGCTTAATCGGCAAGCAAAGTACTATTTATAAATATGAATTAAGTAAACAACTTATTCACACAATATCCGCCGAAAAGATGCAATAGTCGACAGACGCACTAACGATGTGATAGCACAGGATAAGAATATACAGAAGAGTCACTCGTGTCGGAAACTTTGATGTTTTTGTCCTCGCGCAAGTTGTACTGCGCATGGTGGCCGCCATTATTCCAGCCGAATGATGAGGGTTTTTGACTTTTTCCCAACCTTTAAAATTATCCGAAGTCATTTCTTGAGTCAAAATATACTTGAAGTCATTATCAAGTATTAACGTCATGTAATTTTAATGGTTGGAAACAAGTGAGAAATCCTAATCATCTGGCTGGAATAATGGCCGACATGAGGACAAGTTGTACACCTGAGTGACCTTTCTGTATAATCATTATTCTGTGGTGATAGTATGAACATACATATAACTGGCAGTACCTACTAATAGTAACATAATTTAGGTAAAACTATACATACTGCTTGATTCAAGGTAATGTAGATTTGTTATTTAGATTTGTTAAGTTTATCGTTGTGTATTGTACAGACAGTGTAGCAATGAGCTTGTAGCATTGTGCTTTGTGCCCTAAACCCCTTTTCAATTGACATCAATAAAAAGCGGGAGCAAGAACACTTCTTTAGCTCGAGTAAGCAATTAGAAAGCGTTTTGGTCCGTATCATTTTAATTAAAAAATCAGAATGAATAAAATGAATTTAGGAAATTTGGTCAAAACTGGTTAAATCAAATCAACCGTCTTATCAAATATTACCCTTTTCACAATAATACTTGCGAGCTCGTGAACAATTTGCAACTTCTTCACGAAACACCCAATGACGAAATGTCCAGCAGAAATGAAAGTTCGATCAATGAATATCTCTTCAACTCCAACCTTGTCAATCATCCAAAAATAAATAATATTAAATTTGAGCTTCCCACTAAACCTTCATTCTACTCTATTCACTCCAATAAACCTAAGCCGAATTACTGAATGCAATAAATCATATCAACTCGAGTAAAGATCCTAGGCTTGTGCGCATTGTGTCTATGTTGGTCGCACCGCTGCAAACGAAAAACCAGGAACAACCCGATTTATAGTTCTGCATTGGATCATGGGAAGACTGTTTAGGGGGACTCACATCACCCGATTCATCTTCACTGTCATTCTTTCTTTGTAAAAAAGATACGATTTCCAAGTTAAAAAGAAAGACGGCATCGTTAAAAAAGCGAATAGTGATGTCAGTCATGTCAGGTGCAGATCTAGGGGCGGTCAAATTGGTCATTTGATCGACATAAAAATCACTCAAATCAATTCCAAATACAAATTTGCGTAAGAGGCCAGTTAACACACCTTAAAATTCCATCAGAGGTTTGGATTACTTAGTAACCTAATCCGAACAGAGTCTAACTTGGATTTTGGAATTATTTTGACCGAATCGGTCAATTGCTTGGTCAATAAGAATTTTGACTGATTTTTTAGGTGGACAGACTGGTCAGGGCTTTACTTCATTCACTGTTTATTGGTTCATTCAAGAATGATTGTGAGATCTTAATGGATTTTGTTTATTGACCGGTCAAAGCTGGCGCTCATTAAATATTCCATGGAATTGTATGCCTTTCGGCTTTTCTCTGTGCAAGAATAGGTTGTATTCCAAGTTCTACTTTGTCAGTTCAGTGTTCTAAGCATTTTCTTCAACAATGCCTTGCAGTATGTGTAGTACTGTTCAGACAGGATTAATTAAGTGCGATTTCGCACGTCTTCGCCAAATATATGAGGATATTTTAGTGCATGTTGACACTGCGCCCAAATGTTCTGTTGAAGAGTTGCTGTTCACCATGCACAGTACTGAGTTCACCCTCAGCAGAAATATTGCAATGGAGCATTATCCTAGATTATGCACGTAAACAGGACAAAAAAGCTTTGCTTTAAGGTAAGCGTGATTATATGTTTAGATTATTTCGTTTTCTATTTTGTTTCTGATGTTAAGTATGGTTTGCATGACTTCACGCATTGATAATACAAGAATAAACATGTCGCTGTTTACCTTATATTGTCGCTTGCTTGCATTTCAACCATTAACTATTTGATGAAAATATTAGTGACTAGAAGTCTAGCATAAAAACCGCAGTATTATTACTAAAGAGTATAAAGAATGATTAAAGCTCCTCAGCAAGGATAGTACAAAACATGTTTAATTTCAATAATTTCGTAAAAGCACTATTGCTAATGCGTATTTAATATATACGATGAGTTTTTTAAAATAGACATGTTTCGACATCTCATGATGCCATCTTCAGTATAAGTGAAATAATAAATAATACAAGGTTTATGATAAAAGTAATATGATGCATATATTACAACAATAATAAAGAAATAAGATAAATTAATGGGGAGCGTCCGAGCGTATTATAAACTAAATATTGTATTGAATTTAAAAACTTGAACATTGAGGTCAGGGTTAGTTTTGTTAATGTGGAGTGCTTCTTTGCTTTTAAGGGAGAATGAGGTGTCGGCAGTGTCGATTATTTTGAAGCAAGAGGGTGAATAGTCGGTTTTACATGAGTGAGACTCAAAAAAGGTATGAGAGTTTTCGTCTGTTGTGGTATGTTCCCTGATTCTGGTGGATAAATGGCGCGAAAGTTCGCCAATGTATCGGGAATTACATCCCCCGCAATTGAATCCATATACCTTTGGGATTGTTACAAAGGGGTGGGGTTGTTATTAACATTTCATTTGAAAATAGAGCTTACGAGCATATCGTGCAACGTGCATGACAAAACAGGCATCATAACAATTTGGTGTTTTTAAGAAAAAGCAAACATACAACAAACATGTAAGCCGCTGTTGAATTAGTACAAAAAAATTCTTTGCGCGCAAATACATCAATGATAAACGAGAGTTTTCTTTAAGCAGGAAATCAGTGGAACTATTTCGGCTTTGTCTAATCAAAGACAACTTCCTCTAAAAATTATGGCTTTAATTATTTTAGCTAGTTTTTGTACATTACATTTTGTCTGCGGCATCTGTTTGTCTTACATGATCTTTGCTATGGTTGTAATTTATTCACATGAACAATTGAAAATGATTGTATTTTACCTATTCTACGTTTATAATGACACGTGTATTATCCAGTGAATAAGGAACCCTTTTACCAACATTTGCATATTTCTTTTCTTATTTTAATTAGGGGATCCCTGGTGCCTCAAAATCGATAATCGTCTTTTTACATTGTAACAGAAATGATGAATTTTTCTATTAAGAATTCGTAAGTCAAAGGCAAGAAAGGTCTCGCCCTTTCTTTTGTGAATCGAACTTTGACAGATGTTACCACCATTGTTCACGACGTTAATTGAAAAATATTGTTGACCTTGTTATTCTGACATCAAAACTAATATTATTGAAAGGAAAATTCTGGCTCATTCGCTTACGATTTTATTCATAATCTACCTATCTTTGGTAAAGAGGTGGAGATAGAGACTACAGTGGAGCAAAATGGAAACAATTTTCATCCAGACCCTCAATATTTGCTCACCAACATTCAGTATAAGCTATCTTCAACTTACGTTTCTGCGAAAGTTTTATGGCTTAGAAGTGAGTCTTTTTTATCACGCCCCTCTCTGGCATAACCATCCATTTTGTCAACTACTAAAAAGTCTTGAATCTTTAAATAAGGTGGTTTGAACGAAGCAAGTATACAACACGTTCCTATACTGTGCTTGAATGATTAAAAAAAACTATGCAACTATTTATAAATATACCTTACATAAAAAATATTACATTGATAGCGACATGAAATGTACTAAAATGTTATGACTCTCAACGATTTCATCGATTTTGTTTCAGGGTGGACAACTCCCTGTAAAGTTGAACTAATTTTATACTTGTCCTTGTATACCATTCAAAAATAGTCATCCTTAAAGAATGTGTTTTTTGGAGAAAGAGCAAACATGAAATAAGCAGTAAAATATACAAGTCACAATGGAATTAGTATAAAAAGAGATGATTGCGTACAAATACATCAATGATAAATGAGAATTTGCCCCGGCGAAATCATTGGGAGCATTTAGGCTTTGTCTAAACGAAGGCAACTTCCTGTCCCCATTTTAACCAAATTACCTTTGTCTAGTTTTTTTATGTACACACTTTGTCCGTTTCTTTTGGTGTTAGATAATTTTGAGTATATTAGTATGGCAGTAAGCTTTCCACTTAAATAATTGAATGTTGATTCTATTTTCTCATGCTATGTTAATAATGACATGTGTATTATCTAAAGAATAAGGAGCACTTTCACCAACCTTTTTGTAAATCTTGTCCTATTTTCAATTAGAGATCTGTAATGTACGAAATCCTTTACCAAACAAGAATACACTTTACTTTGTGACAGAAAGGATATAGGTTCTGATAGAGAAGCCGTTTGTCCAGCCTTATATGGTCTTGACCTTTCTTCTGTCTATAACAGATTTGAAAAGTGTGACCACACATTGTGTTTAATTAAAACATGATATTGGCTTTGTTTTTTTGACTATGAAGGATATTATACACAAAAAGAAAATTCTAGTGAATTTGCATGAGCTACTTTCAACTAATATTCTTGTAGAATTTTTATGTTTCGATAGCTACGTCCTTTTTCATTATGCGCCTAATTTAAATTACTATTAGGCCAACACACAAAAACTTATTTCATATTTAATGCGAAAACTACAATCACTCATAATAGATACCACATTTAAGGCTAATCATTTCCAAAATTTTATTTCCAAAAATAGCTAAGATCTTTAAATAAGGTGCTTTCAACGAAGCAAATATAACACAATTATTTATACACTGCACTTGAATTATGAAAATCATACAACTGTTTATAAATATATACAACACGGAAAAAATTACATTGAAAACGTCATGAAATGTACAGAAATGTTATAACTATCAACGATTTTATTAATATTATTTCAACGTGAACAACTCCATACAAAAATTCGTGTAAATATGTACTAATAAAAAACCTGTCCTCGATGCTCTTCAAAAATTGTGATGATCCTTTGTTTTTTTTGTTTTGTTGTTGTGGATCGCGTGCATTTCACGCGATTGACACACGATAATCTAGCTATCTTTGATAAAGTGGCTGTATGAAACTATTAAATAAAAACAAAACGCGATCAAAACGTTCAATATTGGGAGAAAACCACCATTTAGCATCAGCTAGTTTTTACTCATATTGCGGCGGAAGTTTATGGTTTGATATTAGCTAAGTCATTTCAACTTAACTTAACCGGTTTGCAACAAACAAAAATTACTTTATGTCTATCTTTAAAACAAGGAATGAGGAATCAAGGAAGTGAACGAGGAAGGGAACGGGGAACGGGGAATGCGAAAACAAGGAATGGAAAAAGCCGAAATCTTTAAAACAAGGAATGAAAAAAGCCGGGATCTTTGAAACAAAGAATGTGTAATTATCACTGATATGTATATTACACTGATAACGCAGCCATGTATAAAATATTCTAAGATAATTGAAGCCGGAAGTTGGCTCATCTGCTTATGACCTTCGTGGGGGTATCGGTCTCACTTTACATACTTTTGTATTACAATATCGCAGTTTTTGCGTTTTTATTCGTTCTACAAACTTTAGATTCGAGCATAATTTTTGTGAAAGGGACAGAACAACCGGCAAAGATATTTAATCCTAAAAAGTTTGTCTTCTTGGCTTTATAATGGCAGAAAATTGAGATGGTACAAGGTCGACCTGCATTGTTTTGAAACAAACAGGAGATCAATATAAATATTAGAGCCCAACAAATAATTTTAAACATAGTCATAAACAATTTGGTTTTATGAAATTTATTAAAAGAGTGACGTTCCGTCTTTACTCAAGACATCTTCAGACTAATTAGGAAGTTATCGAGAATATAGATATATATAGAGAGAGCTATTTAGATAGTTTGAGGTATCAAGCTACTGTGAATGTGTAAGTGTGATGTGATGTATTGTGTGATGTAAGTGTGACGTAAGTGTGATGTAAGTGTGATGTATTGTTAAGGTGAGGTCTTGAGACTAGAAAAGCTTAAGAGTGATGGAAATGCCTTGGGTGTTAAGTGAAGGTTTTAGTTTGGAGATGAGAAGGCTTTCGTGGATCATGAGGTCGGATGTGTCGGAGCAGGATGAGATGATTTTAAAATCGTCTGGCAAAGCAGGGTGGTTGAAGGAATTACTATGAGAAAGAATACTTGACATTAATGGGTTAGTATAGCGTTTTCCAGTCAAAGGAGAGATCCCCAAGTGTTCCGAGATTCTGGTGTGTAAGTCGCGTGTGGTTTGACCCACATACGACGCGGAACAGCATCGACACGTGTATAAATAAACAACACTAGATCTCAGAGACTTGGGAATTTTATATTTAACGGGAAAAAATGAAGAGATTCGTATGGGGGTACGGAAGACGAATCTGACATTGACATGAGGGAAAGCAGCGTTGTAGAGACGATTGATTTGTGTGCGGATTTTTAATGAGTGACAGCCTGTGAATAGGAGACAGAAATACACTATTTTCTTTGGGACACTAAGGACAGGTGGTTTCTGTTCGAATTTTGTGTCAAGGAAACGACGGACAATGTGGTCGAACATATTAGTTGGATAGCAATTGAGTTTGAGTAGTTTTCTGGTGGTTTCAATTTGGGCATGAAAAGTCTCATAACTAGAACAGAGTTTAAAAAAGCGGTGTAATAGGCGAGAGATTAAGTTGCGTTTGTAAGAAAGTGGCATAAAGCTGTGAAAGTTTGTGAAAAGACCAGTAAATGTGGGTTTACGATATACAGAGGTGGTGAATTTGTCGTTTGAGCGGTAAATGTCAAGTCTAAAAACGGTAGTCGACCATTATTTTCCGTCTCATAGGTAAAAGTGATGTTGGGGTGTTGATTGTTAATGTAGTCTAAAAGAGAGGAACGTGATCAAGTGATTTAAAAAGGAGGAAGCAATCATCGACATATCGTCTGTAGAGAACAGGTTTGAATTTCTGGGGACAGTTTTTCAGCCAGCTTTGTTTATGGAAAGACATGAATATGTTGGCAAAAAGGGGACTACCCATAGCAACACCATCAATTTGGTGGTATAGGTATAGGTGGTATAGGTAACATAAAGTGGCAATTTTTAACAGATAGTGTTAATAGATTACTGAATTCGGTGCAGGTGAGTCCATGAAATTGTTTATGGTTAGTAAAAAGAAGATCACAGATGATATTGATTGTTTCATATAGGGGAATGTTGCAGAAAAGAGAAGTTACGTCAAAACTAGCCATAACAACTTTATTAGAGTTAATGTTGGTGTTAAGTATTTCTTGTACGAAGGAGAATGAGTCCTTTATCATGAAAGAGTTTGTCGAGACGGGTGTAAGCAGCGGAATGAAAAATTTAGCTAGTTTATATGAATAGTGATTTATAGAAGACTGAATGGGTCGTAAGGGAATGGTTGGTTTGTGAATTTTTGGAAGTCCATATAGTATACCTATGAGTGAGCCAGTAGAATAGAGTTTATTGTAAGTTTGTTCATCAATTGATTTCGTTTTCTTGAGTTGTTTGAGTAATGATTTCACCAAGGTTTCACATTGTATGGTGACTTTCACAGGGTCTTCGTTTATAAGTTCAAATTTTAAGGAATCGGAGAGGATTTTGACATTTTTCCTTATTTGGGAAAAGTTTCCAGGTAAAGCAAGTAAACTAAAAAATCTATTTTCTGAGCCCTTTCGTCGATGGAATGATGGTCCCTGTACATTCAGGTGACTTGCCGAACGTGGTACTGGTGGGAAAATGGACTGCATGCGTGCACTTCTCCTCTATTAGATAGCCTTAAATCTCAAATGTCAGGAAGAAAGAAGCGTATTGCAATAATGGTCGATGCGCAACTAAAGAAGGAGATAATTGAAAATAGGAAGAAACTTGAGCCAATAGTGGATGCCGTCACACTTTGTGGACGTCTTGGCTTGCCATTACGGGAGCATCGTGATGATGTTAAGTATCGCCCAGAAGTGGGTGGTTTTCGACAGGGAGCATTGGCAATTTTATTCACATTTTGAATTTTAGAGATAAAACATTAGAAGATCATTTAACAACTTGTGGCAAAAACAGTATTTATATTTGAAAAACAAGCCAAAACAAAATCATTCGTTGTTATGAGGAGATGATGCGTGAGCAACTTCCTCGTGAAATCAAAGAGAACAAATTTTTTTCTATCATTGCTGGTGAGGCAAAAGATTCTTCTCACAAAGAGCAAATGTCTCTTGTTTTGCCTTTTGTAGACAGCCACTGCAGTATCAGAGTAGAATTTATAGGTTTTTTGGACTGCAACTGGGAATTAAGTGGTGCGCCATTAGCTAAGTTGCTGTTAGAAACTTTAGATGATCTTTCTTTGCCTCTTGAAAATTGTCAATGACAGGGTTATGATGGAACAGGGTCCGTTGCTGGGCACATCAATGGTTTGTCTGCACAGTTGGTGAAACTAAACAAAAATCGCTTTACACCCATTGCTATAGCCACCGCCTTAATTTATCTATTTGTGATTCTATTAACATCACTGAAGTAGCATTTTTAAGCAGGTCAAAGAATTGTCTCATTTTTTTAGTGTCTATCAAACACGTAGCATCCGTTTGAATAAAATGTTAAGGCTTTTAGCACTGTTTCGGAGACTAGAAAATCCAAGTTAGTAGATGTTTGCCGAGCTAGATGGGTTGACCGCATCCAGGGATTAGTTACTTTTCAGGAGCTTTTTGTGCCATTTTATCGCACTCTTGAGGAAATGACTGAAGATAAGGATGGAAAGTTTCTTCCTGCTCTTGTTGGTGAAGCATCTTCTTGTCTCTTAATTGTTTCAAGATTTGATTTTCTTGCAGCACTTATCATTATAAGGCACATATTAAATTCCACTCTTTCTGTGACTCAGTTACTGCAGGGTTAATCAATAGACATAATGGATGAGATTCACGTTGCTACTTCTTTGAAGGATTCGTTTCATGAGGTTTAGTACAATGAAGTGTTGCAGCTGGCAAATGAACTTGGTTTTGAAGAATGGAAATCTAGAAACAAATCGTCTGATACTATTTCATCTCACTATATGTTTAACATAACCATCCCATTTCTTGACCATCTTCATTCCTATTAGATGCAAGATTTGACGTTGACAGCATTAGTGTGTATAAAGGTTTAAGTATTGTGCCTGCAAAGATGTAGTCCTTAATTAGAAAAAGAATTGATTGGAAGGAGCAATTTAAGACTGCAGCTAATTTTTATAACGATGATTTTCCATATCCCCTTGCTTTACATGCCGAACTATTCCAGGGCAAACATATTGGGAAGCATTCACGGGGGCTCATCCTGATAACATTGCCACTATTTAGAAAGTCTTTCTTTTGAAGGTTTTGAGAACATTAAAGTTATTCTTCGTATTTTAGGAACGCTACCTATCAGCTCATGTGAGTGCGAGAGATCTATTTCTGCCCTCAGAACCCTCAAGGACTACCAACGCACTACGATGATCGAGGAACGTTTAAATGGTCTTGCTTTGATGCAAATTCATCGCGAAATTGTTTCTAATTTTAAGAACATTATTGAGAAAAGTTTGATTACGGAGTACAAGATTAAAGTTCAACTAAACGATAAGTTTAACTTTTTGTCATATTCACGTGGAACACCAGTTAAGCTTTGCACTATTACATTGCCGAGAATTATTGTATTGTTATTTTGCGTACATTTAAATGAAAATGCTGATTGGTTTTTATTATTTTGCGATTGAAAATTAGGATATAAGTGGCTTTTAGGAAGGGTTAAAACAGACTGGGATTGACGTGAAAACGGAGCATTTTCATGTACATGAAATATCCCATATGGTCCCCATTTCTGACCAAACGCCTTTGTTCTTTTGGCAAAGGTGTGAAGGCGAGTTCCCGGCGCCTTAAAACCAGTTGCTCCTGTCTTTCTTTGCAAGAGGCTGTCCATGTCGGAAACACGAATTTTATGCCATTATCACAGAAAATTAATCGTGTATTAACACAATCTAAGGGTGTTTCCTAGGCATGCTGATGAGCTCTGAAATGGAGCAAAACAGACGTTACTTTATAGTCAAACAAATCCTTTTGTATTAACTTACCTCCCCCTCCTTCCTTTGGCATGGCAACACCACCACCATCCCCCCCTCCTCGATTTTAGAAAATTTAAGTTTTGACCTACATGCGAAAAATCCTAAATCTGCGCCTAATCTGGCCATAGAACCTGATACTTTTGGAGCATGATGATGAGAGGCTAAAATGTATAGAAGAAAAAGATGATGGTAGGTTATTTGTTCCTAAAAGAAAATATATATATACAACACAAAGAAGAAGCTTGAGGATGCTGTTGTGGAAGTAGTAGGACTCATTAAAGAAACTATACGCAATGAGTTTAGCTGCTTGCGAGAAGAGATTTGAACATATTAAATAAAGATTAAAGAATGAGCATGAGATATTTCTTTTGTAATTTGGCATAATTTTTTTAGATTAAGTAATAACAAAGCGTATTTATTATTCTGCTAAATACTGATGTTTTCTACGTTCACACTCAAATGCAATGACAATAAAAATGTCAACTCAAAATCAAGCTTCAAGTAATTATTGTCGAAAAAGATGAACGCATAACATTAAATATACAATTTAAGCTGCTTCACATATTTGGGTGCAATGCCTATGCATTTCGTTTAGTCTTACAATCATAAAAAACAGAGCTGCCCGGGTCTTCCACGTGCAGTTCCGCCATCCATGTCCGCCGTCCGTCATCCGCGTCCGCCATTCGTGCCCGCTTTTAGAATGTTTGTTGTTGTATGCCTTGATCATTGATTATATAAGGAGTCGGAAAAAAAGTTCAATTGACATATCCGACAAGCGTTTCCCTTTGTTTTGCTTTTATCGGCGAGCGTTGTATGTTGTAATTGTTGAAGAAGTCAAACAGGATGAAACTTCTACGAAAGCGTCCGAATTATTTGCTCAAATTAGGAAAATCACAACGCGTGGCAAAAAAATACTTGCATTTGTTGTAGGCCTTCATTGCACTTATAGTTACAACAACTCCAATAATGCTCAGGTACTCAGGCCAGGGCACCAATGTGAACACAACATTCTGATGATGCCTGAGTCAAAGTGCACTAATGTTAACGATGACTCATGAATAACGTGTACAGAGAGGTTGTTTTCAGCACATGGTTTTAAACTTTCTTTACAATGAAAAACATGAAATTATAAATAGATGAAACTAGTGGGTACTGCATAGTGTGAGCGGCCTGCAGATTTGTGCCCGAACCAAGATATCGTATTCCGACAATCAGTCTGAACGCGCTATATGGTTAATGAAATACCTCACAAATCTTTATACCAATTTTTTAACACATCAATATTGATAACAGCTGCCTAAAATCCTTTATCAATCATAAACTTCTTATGATCTTACTTTATAACTAAAGTGCTATAAATCTGGTAACTACATAAGTAGTATTTGTGAGACAAAATAGTGCCATAGTGTAGGACTCGTCATTTGTTTCTGTCTATAGTTAAATCGAAACGTGACTAAGCTGGTTCTTTGAAAGTAGACACAATTAAGACTTTTTCAGTTTCAAAGACTCGAACAAACCACCTGCGACAAAAACTCACACTTTTACAAACATGTACAACATTCTGAATGCACCTTTAATTACTTTTTCTCGTGTTTCTCTACTCTAGATCTCTCGATCTCAATGGCGTAGAAAGTTGAGATTAGAAGGTCTTTAGCCATATTAAATGAAGTAAAAGGCTTAACCTCTCTAAAAATGAAAGCCAACCTTATTATAAATATACATTCTTATTCACTATAATCTTTCCATTACTTTCATGCTATTTACCCACTATCGAGATTGCAGGAGCTCAAAGAGCAATGAAGAAATTGACTTGAATTGCCTGGAAGAATAACTATTATTTAATATATTTAGATTTCGTAAATACTGTCAACAAGCAAAAGCTATGCTAAGATGAAGTCCCAATCATGGATATACCTTGAATTAGCACGATTAGCAACTTGAACACATCCGTCTTTGTGAGTACTTAGTAAAGCTCATAAAGTTCCTTACATCCATTCATGAGTTCCAATGATACAGCTAGTCGCATTCTTGACTCTTCAGAGAGTGAAAACGTACATTCGTGCTACCATGGAGCAAAAGCCTCTACATCGTGTTGTCATAAATCATAATACATACACACTAAACTTAGACAGATGGTCTTTGTCTTAATGACATTGCAGTAGAATATGTAGCTTGCAATGAGCAACACCAATCGATCTGGGCGTTAGAAAATTCTTTGTTTTTTTATGTAATATATATTGATTGTACTACACTTGTTTATTGCATAAATTGTATTATGCATATTGTACTGAAGTAGAACTAAAGGAGAAAATTTTCATAACTTGCTCAAAGTGTTGCGTTTGTAGTTTTTACAGGACTCTAGAATTATTGACAGCTATAGAGCCTTCTGAAGCTTAACTAATCAGGTCAGGTCAAATAATCATCGACTTCAGCTCTCTCCCTCCATATTTAAATTTGTTTCTACGCCAATGCTCAAACTTAAGAAAGGACTAAACATACGCAAATACAAATCTGATCTCAATAAACAAATCTAACATTTCAATACTATTTTCCAACTTTAAATTTCTTCTTATTCTGTCACTAGCTCCTAAAATCTGTAAATAATCAATCTTCCATCAAGTACTTTTTACCCCACTTGTGTCATATCTCTACGAAGTATATATTTCACTGTGTAAATAACATGTTCATTTGCACTGAGTTTGGCTTATAGATAAGTCGAAACATTTCTGTCATCAAAAACATAAATTGAAAAATATCGTCGTTTCTTATTGTATTGTATTGTTAACGCCTATGTGCCAACAGAAAACGGAACTCTTTCTTTTCACGACTGTTTGGTAAAACAGGACAATCAAAAACTACGAACAACAGTTTATCGCAAACCAACACACACTGACCGACTACTAGACCAATCATCTTACAATCCTACATCACACAAAGCCACGACAGTCAGAACATTAACAAGACGTGCACAAATCATATGTGATTCACCGGACGCTCTACACAACAAAAGCAACAAACTCAAACGTGTTTTTGACAAAAACAACTGTAACTTTGACTTTATCAAACGCAATACTTACAAACCCAACGAATCCAACGAAACGAACAACTCAGTGACAACAGCAACGATACCTTACATCAAAGATACGTCTGAGACTATCTCGCGTATCTTACGACCATACAACATACATGTCGCACATAAACCAATCACAACGTTACGACAAGTTCTAACAAACATAAAGGACAAAGAACAACCCAACGAACGACAAGGTGCAGTTTACAAAATAAACTGCTCCGACTGCCACCTTCCTATATCGGGGAAACTGGCAGGAGCTTAAACAAAAAACTTACCGAACACAAACGAGTTATAAAGAAACAAGACAAAACTAAACACATTGCTGAACATCACCGAATCACAAAGCACAACATTGACTGGGACTCGGCAAAATGCATTACATACAGCACTAACCATAGACGGCTTACATTTGAAAGTTGGTATACAAACTTGGAACAAGCCCCCCTGAACAGATGACAGCAATTACCGGCACCTTACAAACGACTTACTCACAATACAAACGATCAACTGAAAACATTACACTTCACACTAACCCACAATGACAATACACATTTGACATCCAAACATTTCCTATACACACAATACAATGACGTAAGAACCAGATAACAAATACGGCTAACCCAGTGAACTCTACAAGTTGTTGTAGAGTTCATTGGGCTAACCTGACGTTTACTCCTCATTTGACTCTGAAGATGACTACCGCTAAGGTCGTCGAAACGTCGGTCAACAACAACAAAAAACAGTCCCTCTCAGTACTATACCAACCTGAACGATCTACAATAAACATGTAACGATACTCCCGGGCTCAAACCATTTACTTTATATTTCATTTGCTGCTGATTTGATAATTCTTTACACACAACGGTACGCGTGCCAAAATCACAGAAAAGAACACCGCACACCTGGGTAAGGAGTATTCATAGTACTGCTGATAGAGCTGCATAAGACGTGACGCTTGCTTGTTCGAGTAATTAAGAGAACAAAAACTAATCACAAAGACGAGGAAGTTCGTTTCATTCGTTGTATTTCCTTTTGAGTCGTCAGGTGACGATAATTAAAATGTTGGAGGAGATAATCGGCTTTGCTTTATCGCTCTGTTCACTTTTTGCTGCAGATATACCAAGAGTTCATTCTAACGCAGAAACTTTAACCGAAATTACAAATAATGAATTCATTGAAATTGAAGATGATGCAGATAAAACATATATTAACAAAGAATACGACAACGATAATGATGATGATATAATCATCGAACATTTTAATCGTAACGACTCTAGCCATTACGTGACAAGTAGAGATGGTAATTATCAAAACATTAATGTTTGGAAAACATTCTTGAAATGTTTGTGGATGAATTTAAACATCATTGCAGCGTCCATAATTCCTGCTGCCTTTTTTATGACGATTGTTTACGTGTCAATGAATACAACGTACAGTTGTTTGAAATGGCAGAATCACAACAACAACTCATTACCGTTGTCTGTGAAACGTGCTCACGTCTTTGGTGGTTGCATAGAATCGTTTGTGATATATTTATGGTTTCCACTGACAATGATGATTTTATTTGGATGGAAAAAGTTTAAAGCAAAGTTTTTATCCACGATTTATATCGCTGTCATACTTAGCGAGTTCGTGGTTATATGTGATGCGATTTTACTTCAGTTTGATCTCTATGATGGATACATCTACTACAGATACCCTAGGAGTATTTTGTTCTGGGTCTCGTTATTATGCTCCACATTTGTGATACTCAACAATATTCGAAGTAATGAGCGTTTCATTTCTTATTCCAACTGTCGCATAACAGGGATTATTCTTATGGAAATCGGCTTTTGTACTTTACTTTCATATCTTTATAAGTACTTCATTATTCCACTGTTTGTGAAAGTTCGTCCCAACTTCTTACTGTTGTGTGAGCAGGTGGCGTTGAGAAAAGTTCCGAGATCGTTCATCCCGGTCGTAGTTTTATCTTGGTCACTATGATCCGAGGAGGCGTTATAATAGAACAATGCAGACAAACTTCAAAAGTATTTGGCTTTTCATTGGTCTTTCATTGTTTTCAGCAGTTTTGAACTTTCTGAAAAGGCAACCCTAGCAATTCGCTTCAAATTATGGGAACGAATAATTTCCGCTTTAAAGAATTTAGGTTGTTTTCAAACACTGCAAGTTTTACCATGGAACACAGCTCATGCAAGACGGTTAAAAGCTGACCTAGAAATTCAAGATATACTTTTGGAATACAACACACTTCTTTTGAGTCAAACTTACTTCATTTCATATCAGCTTCAAAGTTTTCACATCGCTGTTAAGCCATTGTTGTACGTGTTCATAAAAAGAATTGCAATTGGTGTTTTAATAGAGTTCATCTTTAATTGCCTGTCAAACTTTGTGCAAATGTATTATTACAACATTCCTGTTGGCCGCGTGTGGAAAATTTTTGGAAACAACATTTGTTGGCCAATATGGTTGTTGTGTTGATAATTATTGCTAATTTTAGTCCAGATTTGGAATCCGTATTTCGATCACATTTTGAAAAGTCAGGAGAGAGTTCTGTAAAGTACGCTATTAGGAACTGTTCGTTGCTTTAGTGAAGGTTTAATGTATACTCGTTCATTGTTGAAGCTTATTTTGATGATATTTTTGGTTGCACAGCTTGATCTCTTGACTTGTCGAGTAAAATCTTATATTTTACCAACGAAAACACGTGATCATAATCTGATCCTTTGATAAAGTTCGTATTTTGAGTATCATATATTTTTACATTTTGTTTTTAACTTTTTTATAACTTTCTCAAGATGACCAATCATTAAAATGTTTATCTACGTCTTTCTTTTACAAAATTTGTTATTTTGCTATTTTTCCATACCACAGCATCTACCCTCCAGCACCAAGCTTTTAGCTGACCAGGAAGACCATGTGCCACTCTGCGTTCCTATTTTTTTATTTGGGATATTCGTGCCATGTAACATCAACTTCTATATGATATTGCATAACATGAATTCGAATCAAAAATTTTAGAACATCTCCAGCTATTCAAAAAAAGAACCAGTCAGTCTTGTGAAAATTCTTTCAATTCAACAGATGCAGAATCGATTTACTAAATACACGTCGTTCATGTTTTTTTCAGTTACTTTTTTTCTAAGGATGGATTTCAAATAAATGATAGTTTCAAGTTTTAACTGAACTTCCGCTGTTGTCTAGCTTTTGGTTTTTTTGCAGTTGAATATTGTTTCACAAATATCTAATTAATGTTTTTGAAAGTGCAACATTGTGTTAAAAAATGTTTCACAAAGAGCAAATACAGTGGTGAATGGTTAAAAATAATAAGCTAGTAGTTCTTAAAAGAATTGTCAAAAACTAGAGCACTAACTCAATAGTTCTGATTAAGTAGATGGGGGTAGCCTTGTAAATATATGGTAACAAGATAATGTACATTACTGATGGTTCAATAATTGTCATAACCTTTTCTAAATTTGCTGATTGTTAAAGACAAATTCATTTACCTTCTCACAAATTTTAAAGCATGCATTTCCGTGTATTCATGCATTGCACAAAGTTTGCCATAGATATGAGTCAATTACACTAATGTTTGTGTTGCTTAGTGAAGCTTGCATTTTTATGATAATATTTATAATTAATTCACACACTACTGCACTTCAACAGCATTTTATATACATTACGCATAAATGATGGATCAAAATGCTCAGAAAATGTTATATTTTAATCTTGGCGAGCAAAAATGCCAGTCAATATTCATTGCATAAAGATTTTAATGTAGCTAACATCTTCTCAACTGCATCCCATACAGATACAGCGTTTTTTTAATACTTATTTCTCAATTTCAATTTGCTTCTGACTTGTAAAGGTGGACTTTCATTTCTCAGCCATATAAGACATATCTGTTTTTAAGAGAAATTGATATACTGAAAGTTTCCTTATGCGAACCGTTCACCACTTAGTTTGTAAGAAAGTTTAAACCCATTCGTACTGAGTAGAACATGTTTTGTGTTTTCAGATTCAGTTTATGTGAATATTTCGTCAATTAGGGGGTGTTTACATAAATCCAGAATGAGTCACAACTCGATCGGGATCTAGTTCATTCCTATTTTCATTCCGGATCGAAGTTTCATTCCGGATCGAAATTTAGTTTTAATCTCATGTAAACGCGAATTGAGTTTCATTCTGGAATGATATTGTGATTAATGACGAAGCATGCATGCGCCATGCGCAGTGTCTTGAAGATCGTAAGCAAATAAGGAGACTAAATAGGCTAAAATGAGTGCAAAGAAAAACAACAATTAGTTTCATGCAAAAGTTAAGCTGTATTAACGCAGGAACAACAGAAAAAAAGGGTTGCTATAATGTTTATATTCGCCATCTTCAAATTTTAAAATTCCAGCAAAATGTCAATTCTTGTGTTGATTTCCCATGTAAACGTGGATTGACATCACGTTTCGATTGGAATTGAAAGTCATTACGGATTCATGTGAACACACCCGTAGAGTGGATAATTTAAATTCATTTTCACTTTCACTTGAAAAAGATTTGCGGCCAAAAATTTCTTTTGAAAATTTATTCTAAATATTTAATATATAACAAAAAACCCCTACTCTAACACCATCAACGCAATTAACAAGTGGCTATCTTCAAAAAAACTTGTAACAGTTTGTGACATTATTACGTCATTTTTAAATTCTTCTTACTTCATCATTTCATTAGTAAACTGGTTAGGATACATCAAAGCGACATTGAATAATCTGTTTTCAAGCGACTAAGTCAGTTGACGAGTTTTTCTTTCACAAGCATTGCTCTCAAATGCGTTTATATGTGAGAAAAACGAATCAAATAATCATAATAACATTGATAGTATAAAATTTGCTATTACAGTATTTCGCCAAAAATATTTCAACAACTACAACGCCTTTTGAATGATGGTATGCCATCAGTGTCAAACACAAGTATATTGAACAAGAATGTAAACAACAAAAATCAGAGACAATAATTTGCCAAATCGAAAATCTTTCGTTTGTTCTTTCATTTTATTTGTGTGTACAAGAAATACATCATTTTTCCTTCTGGAAACTTTGTTTAATGAACGACAATGAACTTTAACGCTTTGAGGTAATCGTCTTAATTTTCTAAGGATGTATGAACTTAACCTAGATTACCCACTTTTTACTGTTTTGTTTCAAGAATCTGACCTACGTACTTGGTTATTTTGTAATGAATTCGATAAGACGGTTTAATGCCTTCGAAATATTCCTCAAATAAAGACTACTTCACCGTAGAATCTTTAGTGATAATACAATTTATTAAAGTGAATGGTTTGAACCCGAGTTTACCGTTAGATGTTGGTGAATGTAGATTCCTTACTCTGAGGATGACTACCGCTAAGGTTGTCGAAAGTTCATTCAACATCAACAGCAACAGTCATTATCAGGAGTCAACTCAACTTCCCGATCTATAACCACAAACATGATAGAATTTATTGTATTGAAAAGTCTCAGACTGAGAGACATTTTTAATGGTTTAAAAAATTAAAATGAAACAATCAGTACATTTAGGATTTAATTTGTCAATAAAACAAAACATAAATTCACACCTTCAAATAATATCTTTGATCTTTATGAAATTTTAGAAAAACAGTTGGAAACTTTATAGCTGGTAATGATACCTCCTCAAGCAATTCTCATCAAGACAAACCTACATCCGTACCAACACCAATTTCACACGGAGCTTATGATGAGAGAAATGCCCCACACAGCAAGCTGCCTGTTGATTCATTTTACTACCCTGGCACAAGATATTGTTATTACCTTATGGATATTGAGGTGACACGTATTGGTCATTGTAAGTACCATGTTAGCAAGTTTGTATAGATAACATGTCAACTCAACCAGCTTACCATGTAACTAACATTTAACATTTTAAATCATGTTAGTTTAACAATGTATTCATCCTTACCTTTGACAGCTGGCACAATGGGATACATCACAGGGAGCTTGCAACAAGAAAGTGACATTACCAAGTTTTATGGTGAGATATACAGACATTATGCTCATGGATGGATGTTAAATACTTTTTATGAAATCCCTGGGACAGGCAAGATTGGTTGGAGTGCTTCATCCTCTCCATTTCAGTTTGTCTATTTGAAACCAATTGCAAAGTAAGTAGCCATGACACTGAGCTGTATATAGATGAAGGCTTTATTCAGTATTTGAATATTTTAATGGCCATCGTTTGCTAAAGTCTTTGCATCATGTTGATATTTTGCACCAGGTCAAGCTTGCAGACTTACACCAATTTTCTGTTTCAACAAGTAGCTTCTCCATATGATATCTTTCAATTGTGTCTAACTGTATTTGGTTTTCCTTGTTTCCTGTCAATTCAGTGCACCAGTTTCTCACACTTGGGATTTAAAGATTGGGAAATGTTTCATGCACACTCAGATGGTGACAGGTGTTATCGGTCGACAGAATCAGAATGTTGCAAACACTACTGGAATTACTAATATGGTTAGAAACATTTGGAATATGTGACTTAGGTATAATTGAGCAACATTCAAACCAAAATCATCTCATATTTTTTCATGCAGATAACACAGTTTGCTGCAACTGGTGGCAGGATGATTGGAATTGAATTCACAGGAGAAAGAAAAAGGCAGGCTGTTGTATCAGTTGGAAAGAGTGACTGTAAGCTATTCTCTTGTTGTGTCTTTATTATTTGCTCCAATTTCTTTCATCTCCTTTTTAACAAATGATTTCGGTGACTCCATAACTTGTGCTTGACAGTTCTCCACCATCCACATAATTTCAGTCTTGTAATATGTACCATACAGGCCTTGCTGTAAGAATATTAAGCGCGAGTGATTGATCACGCAAAAATTTTTGGCACGCGCGGCGCTTAAAGTTTTTTAAATATCCTCAAAGTATATATTTTTACTTTATAGTTAATTCACCTTGGACTACATTATGTGCTTAACTATTTATTCATATAGCTTATATTTGCTATAAACCTCGCCGTTTGTTAAAAAAATTAATTTTTAAAAACGTTGCACGCGCCTATATTGTGTTGACAGATATACTGACGATCGTTTCTCTGTTGTGAAAAAATACTATGGAAAAATTCGCGCCCTTTTTAGGTCAAGGTCAAGTTCTGGCCAAAGTCGGCCAAAGATCGTATTTTCAAGTAAAGGCGCACGTGATTTTTGTATTATTGAAAAGAGAATTCCTTGCATAAGTGCACCTAAAGCTATTTCTTACTAATAGTTTTAATTTAGTTTATTTAGTTTAGTAATAATTTAGTTTTAATACATTATTTTGTCATGCAATCAAAAAACTTCACAACTATCTGCAAATGGATGTATTTCAGTAATTTGATATTTGTCACGACAGTTTTGCTCTTTTGTGGAAGGAATCGTAAAATGGCGCGCTATGTATCACCCGCTTCAGTCAACACGGGTGCGTGTGGGCGCGAGCCTCTTAACGCAAGGCCTGCCATACCTCTCCCATTCTGCGTCTTTGATACTTCTCTTAATTTATACATTGCATGTCTCACACCTGATCAACTCAGTCTTGCTATCTCCATGTTTATCCCCATTCCACGTGTTCTCTGTCTTGTTTTCGATAATCTCTGTTTCATTTTACATTTTCTCAGTTTTGCTAATTCCAATGATGATTTTGTTTTAACATATTCTTAATCTTGCTTGCACCATGTTTCCATCACTCCATATCTTCTCAGTCTTCCTATATCGTATGCTCAAACTTAGTCTTCTTAGTCTAGCACACACATCAATATCGATATGATAGATGACATCTTCTGAACATTACTGCATTTATGTCACCAGATATGTTTTCACTCTTAAACTTTCTCCTTTTAGTGATGGGTGTCGACATACTGTTTAATGTACCTAAGCATCCGAATCCAGTATTATATAGCTATCAGTGTGTGAATGTGCCAGTACGCATAATGTATCTGGGAACTGGTAAACTTGTCAAGGTTGAATGCGAGTGGATGCAGCATTTTGCACGCCATTTACAGCAAGGCTGGAAACTGGTTGATATCTTTTGGGACCAGAGCAAAAAGAGTCATGGAGGTAGAGCCATTGAACTAAAATACATCTAGAACGATAACTCCTGTAGTTTTCCCCAATGACTGGCTGAATCAAAAAAACACTTAAAATTTGTCAAACCCCTGAAATAATTTTTTGATGTTTATTTTGCTTGGCAGTAGTTAAACATGAAAATGATGATTTAGTGTCGTTTTTACACATTTTATGCATTAAAATTGCATCTAACAGAATTAGTTCATGCCGCAGCAAGATGTTTTCGAGGAGAAACATATTCAACAAAATCGAGGACGATCGATCGACAGACTAATTCAAGTCTACAAGGCAGAACTGCCATATTTGTTTATTTTGTTTCGTGAATGGTTCATGTAGTTTTAACAAAAATTTGTTTGATGACACAATTTTTCCATGATTGTTTTGGCTTACGTGATATGCATTGTTTACACAGACAAAATTTGTGATTCTTATGATTTTGCATTAATAAAGTGCTTTTAAAAACGAAGTGACACTGAGCTTTGCATGTATTTTCACAGCATGAAAATGCAATTGACAAATCACTCCATTCTTACGCAACTAATTATGCTTATGTATTTAACATGGAACTACAATATTTATGGAGGATGCCGAACTTTCAAAATCAGAAAGCAACTAATTCAAGTCTCAGCAATGCATGAATTTTTTGACATTCTATAATTTTGACTAATATTCTTCAAATTCGATTGCATTTTCAAAAACTACCGCAAGGTTTACTTTTGAAATTTTACAAATATAAAAATGCTATTTTTTGAAATTTTTTTAAAAAAGGACTGGCGCGACCTGCAAAAATGAAAAAATCTGGCTTCATTTTACTCGCCTGACCTATCGTTCCAGATGTATTTTAATTCAATGGGTAGAGCTAAGTTTTCATTATTATAACTTATCTTGAATGAACTATGTCAATCACTGATCTCGAAATAAGACTGGTTTAAGCGTCTTGCACATTACGTCACATAGCGCGAAGCTCCCTTTGCATTTTGGTCTTAGTAGCACGCACATAGATAAATAAGACTAGAGGTGGCATTGATAACGTTTTTAGGCAACGCGTGATTGGGGGGAGGAATTAAGATCCCGGATTGAAACACGAAGTAAACAAAGGATGTTTTTGCCGTCTGCTTCGATTTTGGACTCTTTTTTAACATACTGTAGTAAGTTTTATTCCTCTTTTACACGAGTATCAAGAAAATTTGTCATTTTAAAGCGTTACTAATTGTTTTTAGTGAGCTTTTCATATGTTTTTTTGAAGTCTGTTAGCAGTTGAATTAAAGACGAAAAAGGTCTTTTTATCAAGCAATGACTCACGGGCTTATAATTAACTGAATGAATATAAAAGCAACACAAATATGTTTTGCAAAATACGAGTGGCTTAAACCATCTAAAATTACGACAAAAAGGAAAGCATTGTTCAACAATTAGATTGTGATAGTATTCACTATAGTATTTACGCATATGTACAAAAAAGCGAAAAAATCTTAGTTTTCCACTATAGCTTAACATCCGGGAATCGATTTTGCCCCCCCAAAAATCGCGTACCATATTTTGAACTATAGATTATATTACGAGTGATTACGATGCCACCTGTAATCTTATTTATAATCTCTATGGTCACGCACTTGAAAACATTGCAATATGGCTAGTAGCGAAAGATAGTTTACCACTGTTCTTAGTCACGTTTCTGAGTCAAAAGAAGTACGACTGAAGGCCCAAGTTCTTTTGAGAACTCTTTCCTGGGTCTTCAGGAGACTTCTAACTTACAAAGTCGCGGCGAATCTACGCTAGACGACGTATCGTCAACTAAACGAAAAGGAAGTGCTGGTGGACTTATATGTTGTGTACCTGGTTGCTTTTGAAACAACAAAAGAAACCCGGAGCTTTCTTTTTACAATTTTCCTGGAGGTAAAAGTAAGGAGTCTCTAGATCTTCGAAAGAAATGCATCAATCTTTTTCTTGCAAGGATTTTATTCCAACGACCGGGCATTGTGCTTTTGTGCACTTTCAGCTTTCAGCTGCTGATTTCCCAACCTCAATTTCTTATTTAGTGGTAAAAGTTCAGACATTTTATCGTTCAAAGTAGCGAGCTCTTTCGTTCTTTCGGCGGCATCAACAATGGAGTCATCAGCTTGTTGAGTAGTTTGGTTGGTGTGGTGTCATTGTCTATTTCAGTTTAAGAAAACAATCTGCTTGGTTTCAAGCGTTTCGTAATTCCAGCAAAAGGCGTCCTAATTCTTGCTTTTGCAGTTGGACGAGGTTTAGTTTGAGAAGGTTTTGTGGCTTACGAAAAAACAGTTGGCAATCATTTAAATACGTCTAAAGTCCACCTGAGAAGTGTAGAGAACACACTCTGTGGCCGGTCGTTGGATCTAAATCATTGCGAGAAATAATTTGAAGTATTTCTTTCGAAGATCTAGAGACTCCTTACTTTGACCTCCAGGAAAGTTGTAAAAAGAAAGCTTCGGGTTTCTTTTGTTGTTTCAAAAGCAACCAGGTACACAGCATATAAGTCCACCAGCATTCCCTTTTCGTTTAGTTGACGATACGTCGTCTAGCGTAGATTCGCCGCGATATTCTGAACTAGAAGTCTCCTGAAGACCCAGGAAAGAGTTGTCAAAAGAGCTATGGCCTTCAATCGTACTTCTTGACTCAGAAACGTGACTAAGAACAGCAGTAAACTCTCTTTCGCTAGGTGGCCATATTGTAATGTTTTCATGTGCGTGACTACTAAGACCAAAATGCTACGTGCGCCTCTCCCATAAGACGTATTATTACATGGCAAGCGTCACTTCCGGATAAATGATGCGCTTTGATTGGCTCAGAAACATTTTTGCCCGTCTATTATTTTCCCATAATCGCCCAAGATCCAAAACGCGTAATTTTACAGTCAAATGTAAGCAAACTTCGTAAAGCAAATAGCAAAACGCAAAATAAACGAAACAAAAAACCATTTACGAATGTGATTCAAAGGAAAAACACTTGGAAAACAGTTAAACTATCTAGACAATACAATTTCAAACGAGTTTATTTCTTATGGACGAAAACTAAAAAAGTGAAAATCAACCCATAAAAACAGCAAGGACGAGAAAGAAAGCAAGCTTCGTTTCAGGTCAAATAATGCCGTATAATAATTAAGCGACGATAACGTTGCTTTCTCGGTCTTTACTGAGAAATATGAGACATCTGTCTTTTTGTACAAATCTCGCCCCACAGCCTTGGTCCGTACAAAGCCACCTCGGTCCATTATTTCTCCGTAAAGACCTCGCGCTCGGTCATTAAGGGCTTAATAATGCAGGTTGTCTATTAATACGTACAAGTTGCTCAATGCACTATCTGGTATGGTCTGGTATCTTCCGCAGGATTATCTCTCTCAGAATAATGCTATGGGTTATGGCTGCTGATTGTCTGAACATTCTTTTTATAGATCTGAGTTTATCTGGAGATCATAACTCCATATGGTTCTTTGAAAAGGAGACAAGCAAGTTAAAAAACAACACTCCTACCTGGGAGGGAACCATTGTTGAATTCAAACATACTGTGAAGGTGATATTATTGATGATTCAAATAAAAAATTTTTTCTTTCATGTTTTCTGTGTTCAAGCATGTTCTCTGTGACAAGATTTCGTTGACAATCTTTTCTTTGACATGATTTTTGACAAGTTTTTCTAGACAGGCTTTTCTGTGATAAGTTTTTTCTTGACAAGTTATTTTGCGACAAGTTTTTCTGGACATATTTTTCTACGAAACTTTTTTCTTTGATGATTTTTCAGTGACAAGTTTTTCTTAACAGGCTTTTCCTGACAAATTTCTATTGTCTTGTTCAAAATCAAGCACGTTGAAGTTATACATATGCTGAAGTTAAATTCAATATGGACACACTGGGACGCCAGAACGTCGATAATTGGGAGTGAGTGAATATTCATATAATCTTAGTCACAGCTCGTAAAAAACTATTGATTTCAAAATAAAGGAATCAGGGAAAATATGCGTGCATCAATATTTGCTCTCTCCTAATTCTCGACGTTCTGGCTTCCCTGCACATACATTCGTTTGTCTGTAATTAACCTTTATTGGTCCACAAAACAACAACTACCGGACAACAAATGTGCCTTATTTTTTGTTTAAACTACTGTAACCAAGTACGATTTTCTGTGCTTGTTTGCAGTTGTAAAATGCGTTTTATTACTAGATTGGTTTTGGATCAACGAAACCCAAAAGTGATTGGACACCAATGTTCGCAGAGATGGGCAATAGAGGCTGGGAACTAGCCTGTATGTTGGAGTCACCAGAGATCGTCACTATAGGCCTGGGGACAATCACATATAAAGTATATTTCTTCTTTCAACGTCTTATTTTTCTACCACCACCAGGGGGGTACCCCTCACAAGCATATCCGCAGACATATCCACCTGGACATTTTCCTCCCTCTCAAGGATACCCAGCTCAATATGGCTACAACCAACCTCCGCCACCATATGCACCTCAGGCTACAGCTCCTCCACCTCCGGCATCAGGACCAGCACGTCCACCACCACCTCAAAATTTGGTTCCTCCAGGTGTACCTCATAAGAAATAGGACATCGAATGATTGACTTATATTTAATAGTAAAAAGATAGTAAATGTAGCTCTAAAATTACTTATACTGTATCATAATTAATCGTATTGTTTATATATATATAATTAACAACAATTAACGATCTTAAGGCGCTGCTGCACTCATTATCAGACTGCTGAACTCATTTTTTCCTCGTTTAAACATCATCTACTATTATGTAAACACGTAAAGCTTAAAAGACGTCACCAACCACTTACAATTCATAGATTTAAAAAACATACTCGTGTCTAAATTTTCATCGGTCAAACATCGCTTACTAGTTTGTTTGACTTTAAAAGTGATTGTGATTGAACACATTTGATAAAACAACAATACAACGCGTGTTGATCTCTTCTCGAAATCACGTAAAGGTCTCTTTGGTTTGCATAAGCACGTGCAAACACAACAAAAATCTTTTACTAAGTTGTATTAAAATTAAAGCACACTTTGCCTACCTCAACGACGAACAAATAGTACGGAAAATGTTATGCCTATATACAAGCCAAAGTTTGGAATTCTTTGCCAAATAAAAATGAAGAAAGTTATTTAATTAAGGCTTGGCAAAACAAAATCGCTTCCTATACTTTTGGACCAAGGTCAAGATATCGTGAAAGCCGCCCTTTCTTGCAACCAATCAGATTGCAGCAAATCAAAATTATCACTAGACATGCATGAATAAAATTTAAACATTTTTTATTTACGACACTGGGAGGTGGATCATATTTATTAGTTCATATTTTCAAAACTTACATCTTGTTTTTACATAAATAAATTTTCACTTACACATTTGATTAAACGATAATCATAACATCACACAAAAAGAAAATGGCAATTACGATTGCTCTGTTTTGATATTTTTTGATAATTTCAGAATTGGGTTGTTTTTGAATTCCAGATACGTTCTTTAAAACACAAGTGACCCAACTCTTTACATGGCATTTAGCAAGTTACCATTAGTCTGATAATGCTTTGTTTCATTGGGATTCATTCAATTAGAATTTACATCAAGCGATTTTTGGGGAGATTTCTTTTTGTGTGGTGTTTATATTGATCAATTAGTTGTGAGTACAGCTAAAAACATTCCTCAACACAAAAAATATTTTTGTTTTTATTGATAATAACTAAAGTCGTACCAAAGTTGTATCATAATAGTAGAAATAATCTGTAGTTCAAACGCAATGAGAGTTTGCATTGATCTGTTAGTAAACTAAGTTTTTAATTTTCAGTTAATATTTCATTAAAGAAAGTGAAACAGTTTTCTATTTTTGCATAGCTTTATGAAACTCAGAGAAGTTTGTGAAACTGCCGAGAAGACAAAACGAGTTGCGCAACATACACGAAAATTCAAGTGAAACGTAACGCTACTGCATCAACAAAAATGGCTTTCAAAATCTCCAAATTTTTAAAATATATAATGTGTAATAAGATTTTTTCTTTTGTAACAATGTTGTCAAAACATGCATTTCAAACAAGCAAAAACGTTACAGTTTCACTTTTCAGAGCTTCTCTGAGTTGTGTAGCATAGTGACTGTGAGCTGTTAGTTGCTATCAAACTTCAGTTAATTTAGTCAGCTTATAATTCTTACTATGAAAAAGTTCGAGGAAAGAAAAAGTGAATATAAAATCGTTATCTCCAATATCCAATTCAGCAAGTTTACAATTCTTACTTTTCAAAGCTTCACTAAGACACTCAGCACCTCGATGACTAATTTTGCTACTGCGAATCTTCAATTTACTAAGTTTACAATTCTCATTTTTCAAAGCTTCGCTGAGATATTCAGCACCTTTGTCTGCCACATTGTTTTTGCTAACATCCAATTCAGTTAGCTCACAATTCTCACTTTGCAAAGCTTCAAAAAGATGTTTAATACCTTCGTTTGCTATATCGTTAGCAATAATAGATAACTTAGTCAGTATACAATTGTCACTTTTCAAAGCTGCACCAAGATACGTTGCACCTTTATCACCTATTTTGTTGCCACTCATATCCAACTCAGTAAGCTTACAATTCTCACTTTTCAATTCTTCACTAAGATTTTTGCACCTTCATCATTTATATTGTTGTGACTAATATCCAATTCAGTGAGCTTACAATGTCCACTTTTCAAAGCTTCACTAAGATATTTGGCGCCTTCATCACCAATACCGTTGCCAGCAATATTTAGTTTAATTAGTTTACAATTCTTACTTTGTAATGCTTCGCTAAGATATTTTGCACCTTGATCTGATAGTTTATTAAGACTAATGTCAAATACAGTAAGTTTGCATGTCTCACTTTGCAAAGCTTCACTAAGATATTCAGCACCATTGTCTGCTATAAGGTTACCACTAATATTTAATTCCTTCACTTTGCAAGTCTCACATTGCAAAGCCTCACTAAGACATTTAGCTCCTTGATCTCTAACTTTGTTACCACTAATATTCAATTCACTCAGTTTACAATTCTCATTTTGCAAAGCTTCTTTAAGATATTTAGTCTCTTGATCTGTTAGTTGGTTATCCTTAATATTCAGTTTACGTACATAACAATTGTCATTTTCCAGAGCTTCGTTGAGATACTTCCAAAAACTATCACCAAATGTACAATTACGAAACAGTAGACTGATTAATCTGCGAGCTCCATCATTCGACAAAAAAGTTTTTCATAGCAAGACAACTTTTGTCATTAAGAAATTTGCATGACTTAAACATAAGTTTAGAAATGTTACCACATTCAAAAATAAATTCAAACAATGCGTTTAAATCAACAGGCGTAAAAGAAACACCAGCAATAAGCATTTCTTCAGAAGGAAATATCTTGCAAGCTGACCTCATTACATCTTTGTCCTGCAACTCGTATATGCACTTAAGTCCAAGAAAACCGAGTGCTTTATCTCTATCAATGCCAATTAAGTTTGCGTTCCACACTTTAAATCTGGAAAGATACAAGCATACCATAATGATAAGCTTATCATATGCTATAGTATGCTAATAGTAGTCCTGCCTGTGCATATAGCAAAAATTAAGAATGAAAATGAAGTACGTACGTAAGTATTTTTTACGTTTTTATTCTCAATAAATCGAGCGAAAACAGTTTGTAAAACGCTTGCAAATCTCGAGGAAGATTCTGCCATTATCTATTTTGTTTATAATTTTCACATAGATAATTACGTTACCTACAAGTAATTCTCCACATTTTGTATGGCAAACTATGGAAAATTATTTGTAGGCTCTAAGATAAACACAATCGAGATTGCACGAACATTATATAATAATATGTCATATGTGTAGTAAGCGAGAAGGGGCCCTGCAAGATTTTTGCCTGCGATGTAAATTTTAGAACAAAATCATTATTCCTGTTTTAGAAAGCTATTGCTCTCACATTAAATGAACACGCAAACATTGCAATGAGAGGGCTAAATAAGCAGAATGGCGATACACCACTGTATAGAACTAGAATGTATAATTTCAAATGATATTATCGATATTGTGGTTTTGAAGATGGTAAAAATTATAGAATTTTCGAAAAGGTATTCGATACAATGTGGGAGTAGCAAAAACTACTCACTTTTGACGAAGTAAATTTTCTTTAAAGGAATATAAATTTCAATACATTATACCTTCTTTCAATATCTTCCGTTATTTCACGGTCTCGGATATTTCCCAATCTCTTCACTTGTCCAAGTAAACCTGCAATAAACTGTATCACCAAGTGCCATTTAGGATCTGTACTATGATCATCCAAAAACTTTCCAATGTCTTGCAAATTTTCGGCAACAAACATTGCTGAAAGAAACTCTTGAATAGTTAAATGTAGAAAACAGTAAATAGAGCGTGTTTTATGTGGTATCTGATGAAACAAGCCACAATTTGCCAGTTCATGAAAGTCACTTGTACTTGCTTTCTCAAAAATTAAACTTCCTTCTTCTATTCCTCTCATTGCAACAGTTTTAATTTGATTCATATCATTTTCAAGCTGAGATGGTAGAGGTACTATCAGATAATCATTTGGTCTTGGTATTTTCTGTGACTTGCAAAGTGGATGGTGCTTCCACAATAAGATTTTAACAGCTCTATTGTACAACTCAGTTATAGTTTTTGGAATATCCTCTTCGTTTCTTTTGAAGCTCTCCTTTAAGGTCAGACAGACAATGTAAGTGTTAATCGGGATATAGCACAAGCTACGAAGCTCGAGAGAAGTGTCAATCTTATTTAAAATCTGCTCGGCGGAATTGCTATGATTATCACAAAATTTGTTAACATATTCCTTAATCTGTTCCTCAAAACCCCAAAATCTCCACTGTCCTTGCAAATTTCAACATTTCAAATGCACGTTCGGCTGTAGGTCGTGATGTTATAAGAACAGTAACACCAGGCAGCAGTTTGCCTTTAACCAACATCCTTATTCGAGTAAGCGCAGGCATTTTTGCATTATCAAGTACTGAACCATCAATGTCAAAAACTCACTGTCAAAGGTAGTTCATCAATACCATCAATAACAAGGACAGTTTTCTCTGGATTTGACAGAACAAATTCATAAAGATGTGGAAACTGTTGATCTGAAAATCCATCACAAAAACTTAACATTTCTCTGAGAGTCATGTCCTCCTTTTTAAGCGCTCGACATTGAATTAAAAGGAAAAGTTTATCGTGCCAAAAGTCTTCAACGTTATTTTTCCAATCATGCATAATTTTTTTCGTCAACATTGTTTTTCCAATTCCTGGTCTCCCAATAACTAAAATCGAACGTGGGTAAGATTGATCTTGTTCATCCTGGATTGGCTTAAAGATTTCTGTCGTTTTAATTAGTTTTTTGGCACCTTTAGGAAGCGTTAGATAAAAATGAAAGATTTCGTGTCGAGCATAAGTTTCTGGGTAAACATCTTTTAGTTGTCTTGCTGCTAGCATTACGACGTTGACGTAAATATCGTCAAGATTCCTCCAGGACTTTTCTTCGCCACTGCCAAAATCGTCATGAACTTCACAAATTTCATAGGCTTTTTTAATTTTTTCTAACCATTTTGGAAAAACAGCACGTTTTCGTAACAAGTAAACCGTGAAAAATTCACTCTCCGTGATGAAAATACTATAATTGCAGACCATATGAGCCAAGTAACTTAACTCTATTATTGTCAATATCATCACAATGACATCAACAAATCCAACGACACGAATCAGGGTTTCACTACGATCACCGTTGAGATTTTTACATTCAAATAACATACCGTCGTATGACGTAGTGTGATTTAACAAGTTTGTTTCTTTTATTGTCGAATGCCATGAACATGAGTATTCAATGGGAAACTTGCTTCGGAAAAGAGTGACAACAAATACAGACAAAATAATAAAGCGAACTGACAGATAAACGATGTAAATGTTGAACGTGGAAAAACGAAATATCGCTTTTCTGAACTGAGTGTCTTGACCATGAGCTGCAATTAAAGATTGGCTGTCTTCGCTTCTTGCTGGATTGAACCAATTCAACTTTTCAAAACGTTGCTTCACAAAATATCCATAGATGACACTCAAAATTAAGACAATGCTCATATTCAGGCAAACCACAACAATAAGATTGATGTGAAAAAACTCTTGTTTATATCTCATCAAACAACTTGATTCAATGTTGCCCATGATAGAGCTTTCTTTCAATTCTTCAATCTTTGATGTCATTTCATTATAACACTTAAATGAAGTCTGGCCATTTAAATTTATCGAAATACCAAGAACAATGGTGCCAAATATACCAAAAAAAATAACAACTAGTCCTCCAAACCAGGGGAAACTCTTTAATGGTAAGTATTGAAGAAACTTTTCCATTCAGTCTATTTCCTGTAAATATCAAATTAAATACACAAATTATAAACAGAGGCATAGGAACAGGCGGGCAAAAGGGGCATAAGGCACCATTACTTTTCCTAAAAAGAGGGAAGTGCCTCCTCACTTTCCATTGAAATGGCAAAATTACTAGGAAGTCATATGTCATGCTACCAGTCCAGATGTAGTGCAAATTTCTGATGGCAAATTTGATTCCTATTTACTGTGAATGCAGAGAATAGCAGGCTTTTGTGTGGTGGAGCTATGCAAAAGTGCATGCATCAGATGTAAAAACATGAGGCATGTTTATGCACATTCACACTCCATATTTGTCACATACATATTGAGTTGGCATAATGTGTTGCAGTATAAAGACATTAAATTATTCAAAGATGAAGAAGGGAATGCTGGATGTATGATGCATTTGGAAATTTGATTCAATTATTTTTGGCTTCAACCAGCTAAAACTGCTGTTGAAGGCTGATGGTGTAATGAAGAACAATCTTCACAAAATAGAAAGGGATTCCCTAAATCAATAATGCATGAGAGACACTCCAAATTAACATGCACGTTTACATATACTTACAGTATTGAACAATTAATTAAACTGCTATTGTTGGTTTGAAACAAATAAAATTGTCGTGTAGTAACGCAATAAATGTCTCGATTATAAATTCAATATACGAGAACGACTTTAGGCAGACGAGTAAAACAAACAATTACATGGTCCGTCAAGAATGACAAAACAGAGTTACTCAGAGACTAGTCGACCCGTTTACCGGTATCGAATGAAATATAAGTTTAATTAGTAATTTTTTCTTAAGAAATTGAGCAAAAGTCAATGTGAACTTACTTCTTTAAAAGGCTACTAACTTCATTAATATTTTGTTTGAATTGGTTAGCAATAACTATCTTCTGGATAGCCTTCGTTTACTTTGCTTGTATTCCTATTTCCTATTTGTATATCTATCAGTTCAGAGGTTATCTAATTTTAACGGAATCACCATTACGTCATATTATGGTCATAATTTAATGTTTTTAAATTAATTTATATTTGCATTAATTAAAGATTGCATTCATGCATAATTGATGATGATTATAAAAATGCCTAAAACGAAAAACCCAAGGTATTTTTTTTGGTAATTCGAAATTCGAAATCCTTTGTTAAAATAATCCATCATGGCGGCCATGACGTCGCTTGTGCTTGCCCACAAAAAATAGCAATGTTGAAAATAAAAACTCAGTTAGATATCAATTTCTAAGTCTGTGATGATATCTTCTTTGAAATGATGCCTTTTGATATTTTCTGGGATGGTTTGCTGCATTTTGTCTGCATTATATTGATGTTTTCCGACGATATTACTTTTTATTTAGTTTACTCCAAACTATCATTTAAATGTATGAGTGCTAAATTCATATTTTATCCATATATTGTAAGGAAAATAACAGACCTTTTCTAACACCAATGCTTGATCTTTTTTTGTCTTCATATTTGGGAATCGTTGATGTCTGGAATGTATCTCTCAACTCCGCGTTCTTTTACTCACGATTTGTATTCGAAAAAGTAAAAAGCAAAGAAAACAGAATCGCCTCTTTAAATTAACAGCAAAAATAAGCGTTTGAATCACTGTTGAATCAATACAATGAAACGTGTGTGAATCAATACAGAGAGTTGGTAATCTATTGTTGTTCAGTTTGATTGTGCAATATTGGTCACCTGATAGGTTTTCGCCATAATTTTGTGCTTGTACCCATCTTGTACCCCCACTTGCACTTTTCTCATTTGCTGCCGCGGCGAGCGGGCCTTAAGCGAGCAAGGCGGCAGGCTAATAGGTATCAATTCAACTTCTCAACCAACATGCATTGAGGTTTTACTAAAATACAACGAGCGCTTGCATTAGGACTGGTATATGCGTGATCGGATTTAATTGGCTCCATAACAGCACGTGGTTTTGACATTGATACAAATTACTATAAAAATGTATGGTGGATAACGTTTACAAAGATTTTCAAATATTTAAGATATTTCGCGACGTTTTACTAATCTCAAATATCCGTCATGGATAAAACAAGTTATGTAAATCAATTTAACATCAAAATAATTCCTATATCTGTAAAACACCGGCGTTTATATTTGCCCCATCGTTGCCAAGGGAGAACAATTCACAGCACGCTTTCCAAGTTCAGAGGCAGTTACGATCTAGAATAAGTTTCAATGCTTAAAGAATTGCGGTATTTATCTTTATTTATCATTCTTTATAATATGGAGATTGCTGTATGTTACTATGTCAGCAAATATCAATAGGCTTTCACATTTATCATGTTCTGAGTTAGTGTAATCCTTCCGGAACATTGAGTTTCAAAAACTTCATTCTGCATCCTTCACTAGACACCATAGCTAAAGTTCCTGTGTTGGAATGCCTAGTTATGTTTGACATCGAAAATTCTCCGCATGAAAATTCAGCGCATGTCGTACCACTATTTAAATCAACAGCAACCAAAGTTAAATAATGAGACATTCCAATACAATACGATTTATATACGAATATGCCTTCTGAAATCTTAATAGTGGCGTTGCAAGGCAAGATCTCATTCACATCACCCTTATTATCCACACTGATAAAACGAAGGCCCCTTTTTTCGCTTACGAGCAATTCGTCTTCGTAAGAGAATATAATGACCACTTCTTTACTATCACTTGTAAAGCAGCAATTGATCAAAAGATATTTTAAAGTTATCTGTTTTAAACCAAATTTTTTAATGAAACAAGTCATGGGTATTTCTGCAGTATGCCAAGGCTCCAAGTGAAGTTCATTGTTCGTATTTCTCCATTTCCATATTGTGTACTTTGTTTTGTTTAGAGTTAAAATAACAGACTTATCAGGAGATACTGCAGCTTTCAATCCTGAACAGTCGACAGAAAGTCTTTTGTTGTATTGTATCGCGCCGTTGATAATTCTAACAACTTGAACAAAATGTTCTTGGCCAATACAAACTAAGACATCACCAAATGTTAAGATTTCTTTAGGTTCAAATCCAAGGTTTACTTGCTTAGTCTGCGTGGAATCAACAAAATTTTCAGACAAAGTCGATATCTTTGTAAGAAGATCAGAACCATCCCATATCCACAACAAATTATCCAACCACCAACATCCTAATGCTTTCTCCAGTTGCATTGGTACAGTTTGAATAATAGTGCAGCGCTCAATGCTCCAAATATGAATGTTGACGAGACAACCACCAGTGATGACTGCCAAAAAAGATCCATGAGGTGAAAAACAACAACAATGAATTCGACAGTCCTCAAAAATAAATGAAGAACTCCAAACGGCATCAGTTTTGAAAACATCAAGCTTTTTAAAATAAGGCACAACGTAAAATTCCTCAAACGAGATTGGGCCAACTATTTCACGTTTCTTATCGACACATAAGCACTTAAAGAATGGTTTATAAAATACGATTTCTCCTTGATTGTTGTATTTTGTAAACTGAGTGATTTCAGAAAGCTTTAGAACTTGCTTGGTATGATAAAGGATACAAGCACGCCAATGGTGAGTTATCATTGAATAAGAAAATGGTGAATGGACTTGTATAGAATGAAAAATATTGATTGCCTTTGGAAATTGAAAAAAATACGAATTCTCACCAATGTCTGCAACAAAAAACTCTGAATATTTATCGGTGCATTGCAGTTTTCGGTAATCAACAACGCAACATCGATCGATTCTTTGCAGAGTTAATGCATTCCATGCAATAAATACTTCTTTGCGTGGATCATAGATATCATAATCTTCTACATAACCTGCTGTAATAAACAAAGCTGAATCTAAGAAAGAACAGTGATTAACGACAAATTGTGACTGCAAACATGATAACAAACGTCCATTGTTAACATCCCACAACTTTATTTCGGTAGATCCATCACTAGTTACCAGTCTATTTCCGGTGGGTGAAAAGCCACAACAACAGATGTTTCTATGTGCAAAACCGAATTTTGTGATATTTCACCAACCGAGCTTCGGTGTATCACTGGTTGTCTTGCTTTATACAAACGGTTATCAAAGATGGGTGATACAAATGTGTGTTTCTTGTCCCATTTCTTCAACCTTAAATCATCTAGTACAGTGCCAAGAGTGCATCTTTCCTTAAATTCTGGAAGCTCAAAAATAGATATTTGACCATTTTCATATCCTACAGCAAGAAGTTCTTCAGTGGACGACACACAAAGACATGTAACTTTAGCACGCAAGGAGACAGTCAAATGATGATGGTCTGTTAGATAAGTGGAGTCTAAATCCTCAAACCAATGAAGCATTCCTTGTTGCAACAAATCTTTTGCCAATAATCTTTTTTCTTTACTACAATGAATTCTATTTGCAATAATTTGTAAATAAAATGGATAGAATTCATCCCAGGGATATCTAGTACTTTCCATCTTGATATGGAATAGCAGCTCCTCATATATATCTTCACTCAAGAAATTTCGTCTTTTTGTGATGATTTCATGCCACTCGTTGTTTATTTCCTCAAGGGAAACTCTTCTTAACCTTGCACAAACAATTTTGACATCTACTGCCCAGCTATAGTCGACATTTTCGCCACATTCTATCATATGATATACTCCATTCTCCAAAGCATATTTAATCATAGCAGTGTTCATTTGATCTTCAAAAATGTTTCGCAATTTGATGTGTTTGAACTCTTTTTCACACGCACGCCATAAGAACTCATGACCATTTTCAGGGTTAACTGTAAACTCATGCTGTTCATAACCATCTGATTTCAACCAATCAATGAGGGACTTGTGATACACGGTTAAATAGCCATCGTAAACTGGCAAAATTTGAGATAATATTTCAATGATTTCATTGCGGACTTCAAACTTGATCTCATCAGAAAAACCTAAATAATTAAGTTTTATTGGTAAAAAACCTCGACAGGCAGCCAACATTTCAAGAAATCGCACAAAGGCCGTTTGTGATATAGTCGAATTTCTTTTTGAAATACTTTTCTTACTCAATAATTCTTTTACTCTTTTAAATTGCTTCGTGTAAACACTGCTCAAACCACTAGGGACCAATTGTTGAATGTTCTCGTAGGTAAGTTCAACGTTTTCTTTCTTTAAGCTCAGTTGTGCGTGATAAGCGTACAGAAATGATCCCTCGCATTTTTTGACTAACAACCGTAGAACGTGATATACAAAAAAATACAATCCCATATGAACATTTAACTGATGTAACAAATACATATGCAGGTCCATTTCGTTGTTTTGATCACGAGGTTGAGTTGTTATTTCCAGAGGATTCATGACTTTCAACTCCTTTTGAACAGGAAGTTCTGGACGACTGGTGATAAAGATTTTAATCCACTTAGGTAGTTGGCCAAATTCTTCTGCAATCAATTCCAATAATTCACTTTTGCCGTCAACTTGACTTTCATCTAAAGCATCAATAACCAAAAGCATTGGTTCATGACCTTCCAATGAGTGCAATGGATTATTCAATAAAACACGGAATGAATCGCCGATTGATTCGTTAGAATGGTTTCTCTGTAATTCTTCATTCAATTTACATTTAAAACCCGATATTGTATCACACATGGTACTGGTCAAGGATTCAATCAACATTCGAGGACTTCTATAATCCGAGCGATTATACTGGCAAAAATGACAAGCAGCAAGTTCCTTCGAATATCGTCGACACACCTCAGCAGCAAACACACTTTTACCAACACCGGGACCAGCAATCAAAATCATGATATTAGAAGCAGCTTCATTTTCATCATTAAACCATTCGTCGAGTTTTTTAAATAACCATTGTCTAGTACCTTGTAAATATCTCTTGTTAAGGTCTTTTATAAGACCACTGAAATCACACTTTCCAAGCTTTTTGACATCTGAATATGTTTTATCTTGCGACATTACTTTAAATCTTGCTATATCCGCTTTTGTTGCCATAGATTCTTTAATATTCTTTACTTCTTTTTTTATTTCTTTAACATCTTTTTTAGTTTTCTCAGCAACTTCTATCAACTGTTGTTCGTTTTTATACCAGTTTTTCAACATTTCAATATAATTTGCCTCATCAGGACTGAGTGGAGTTTTCTTTAATTCATCTATTTCAGTTTGTTGAATACCCAGACCAACCAATGCTTTTGAAATTTCCTGCCACAAGTACTCAAACTCACCGTCATCTACACAAGTTGTAGTAATGTGACCGTACACTTTGTTTCGATAAAACTTTATTCTTGCGATATTCGCTGAGATTGAGCTATCTGAAGGGAAAGGAAGATTATTCCATCCTCCAGTTGGCGCTGTTAAACCACATATTTCGCAATAAGACAGTCAATAATGAGATATCAAAGTTTTCAAATTTAGGATCACCAGTTGACGGGTAAAGAAGATCCCATTGGTCTTTGTTGATGACTTTAAATTTTAATGACTTTAATATCTTCTTCGTAGTTGCATCTTTAAGTTCAGTAGTTAAACTTGGCGATTTTAATAACGATTGCAATGTATCTTTCAAGGCTTCTTTTCCTTTATTTATCAAAAGTTTACTTAATCGAGATCCGTTTGCCTCGTCATTCAGATTTGAATATGAAGCCATTTTCGAATTCAAACTAAAAATTGTAATGAAATTGCATAAGAAATATTATTCTTATTCTTAAAATGTAAAACCACATTTCCCAAACAAAATTCGTACAGAGAAGCGGTTCAGAGAAATTAAGGGACGTGGTGAACAATCAAATGCGGAGACATTTATGGAGACACTTACGAAGAAACATTATCGAGACACATCATAATTTTTCTTTGCATTCCTTTTTTCATATGTCCTTCCACTTAAAGCCAGAGGCTCTGGACAAATTACAATCTTTGCCCTCCAACCTCTGAACAGTCATGTTCGTGCATTATGAAACTAAGTAAATTTTCGTTGTTGACTTCAAACAAATGATTCCTATGTGGAGATGTAAATTGATCTTTGTGCAAAATGATCGCTCATTCTTTGTTTGGTTGGCTACGTGCGCAACTTTTTAATAAAACATAAAAGAATAAACGTAGAAAGCGATTCAAAGTGATGGGGCTTGATCTTCATTCAGTCAATAATGATGCTATTTTTGAATACGTGTTGTAAAATGGAAAATAACGACTGTGGAAACTGTGAAATACAATGACATCGTTCATTTTATTCACATCCGAAATAAACTGTGGCAAGTACTAGTTTATTTCGAAAGAATTCAACTTGATATATTCATTAATTTACATGTGTTGCTCACAGGAAAATTTCGGGATTTGTACGTAAATCTATTTACAGAATCCATTAATTTTTGTAAAAATCACGAAAAAAATATTGTCCGAAATAATGTTGCATGTATGTATGTTTTTCACAAAGCTAAATTAACTGGAAGTTATGAAAGGCAAAAACTTATTAGATGCCTATAAAATGAAATGCTTTGGGAGATTTCTTTTGCTGCTCCATAAATTTATCTAACATGTGACGGGCATTATTTAATTTATCTTTTAAAACAAAGTTTTATGAAAGTTTGTACGAAAAATGTTGTTGTTCTGTTGTTCTGACAAATGTTCGTCAACGGAAGCGCATTAATAATAATGGATTTGGGTAAAAAATACATTTCCAAAACTGATATTTAACATTTTACTTGCTTTTTTATGTTATATTATGTATATACGAAGTTTGTAAGCATCTAGCGCATTATGTTGCTACTTTGGAGCAAAAACGCTTTAGTTTTTGTCATGTTTATAGACAAACGAAAGCAAACAACTCTAGCAAAATGCCTTTTAGTTATGGTTGGCTATGGCTCCCTTTACAAAAATTTAGTTGTCGAAAAATTGTATATTCTTGATATTAAGTTTTAAAAGTTTGCTAAATTAAAACATAAAAGGATTTTTGTTTTGTTTGTAGAGATTCATAGTTGGTGCAAGTTATTTTTTGTTCGCTTTTATTGACCGTGTGTTTACATTGCGTGGAAAGACTGGTCGCTACTGCCATCAAAATATCCACACGTAGCCTTACATTTATTTTAATAAAAATAAAAAATGATGAAATATATTAAGATGAAACAGTAAGCTCATGCAAACATGTTTTTGTAAGATGAAAGTAATTTCTCTACGAGAAAAGTTATAAAAAGTCACAATACAATTTCACAAGCCCAAGAACAATAAGTTGGTGTCCAAAACAATAATTAATATATGAAACAACTCAGACAAAGGAAACTGTCAATATTTTGAAGAGTAATGATGTATGAATCATTATCCAAACAATTATGATAATAGAGAAAAATGATTTGTAAACCTTCGAAGTATCATTTCTAGAGGAGTGAAATATAGTAAATATGTGTTTTTGTGGAAATATAATAAATAAAATGATTTTATAGTTCATCTCCGTATAACAACTAATTTTCTCGTAATACTGAGCATATTAAGGTTTTCATCTTAATTTTATATGTTAAAAACCTATAGTCAAATTGAACACTGCATGATTAAAATCGATTTTCAACCGTCAACAAACTTTTCGATGTGGATTTGCATACGTACGTACATAAAATCTAAACTTACTTGCTTACCTTTTTTATTTCCTGGAAGAAAAATGTCTTTAAATCGCGATCATTTTTGTTCACAGCATTGTTTCCAACTTCAAGTATTGACTGCACAGTGCTTTAAAGAAAAAGGATTTATTGAAGGACAAATCTGAATGTTGTAGCTTGAATAGACAATTTATGATTGGTTAATTGGACAGTAAGCCAGTATAGATCGAAATAGTATTTCAAGAGCATTCACGCGACAAGTTTGCTTTATTTACTACAATTATTTTAAAGAATTAGGCTGTTTTACCAACATTGAAATTTAATCAGTAAATGATTTTGAGCTAATATTATATATAATACATGGAAATTGTAAAAAAGCTTTCAAACATTTTTCAGAACTTCAACAAGTAAAAAAAAATATCGAAATCATGGACTGCTAAGTTGGCGAAGCCAGCCCATAAAGTCGTTCATTGTTCGACTTGTCGTCATAAAGAAATCATGAAACATACTAAGGTTTAAATAAAAAAAGGAAGCACATGCAAAGACATGTTTTTGTGAGACGTGGGTAATCTGTTCACTTTACGGAAAAGTTATACAAAAAACGTCAGTAGCTAAGTCAAATTAAGTTTTCATTATTTTGAAAAGTGCAAGACCAAAAACCTGTTGTACACAACTATAGCAAATGTGAAATATTTCAATCCAGGTAAACTTTGAATATTTTTCGCAATAATTGAGCATGATATATTAGCTACAAACAATTATGATTAGTGAGAATGATTTGTATAAAACCTTAAGGCAAAAACATCATTTCTAGAAGGAATTCGATAATTTCTTTTCATAACTGTTCAGAGAAGCTTCAGTCAATGCAAATCACTAATGTATAATCTTGACTTGCAATCAACCTCCGGAGTTTTACATAAGACAGTATTGTTCCTACAGGTCATCTGGTGAACACAGTGGCATCGATAATATCTTTTTTACAAAATTTCAAACGTTGCTAGTAATAAATTCGTATATTTTTATGAGCGTCAACAATCTGTATTGTAAGAATTGTATATAGCATCAACAAAACTTTAATAAACAAGCTTCAAGCTATGGGAGAAATTAGAATGTTATTTTTACGTCAAAGAATGAAGACTTATTTAGTCGCCACATTCTGTTACGCTATAGAATCCATTCTTATGTCAGAGAGTCTAGCCCTGATTTTATAGTGGATAATTTGAAATGAAGAATGAAACAAACACTCTAGTAAAAAGTAAATGGTTTGAGCCCGAGAGTATCGTTACATGTTTGTAAATGTAGATCGTCCAGGTTGGTATAGTCCTGAGAAGGACTGTTTTCGTTGTTGTTGACTGACGTTTCGACAACCTTAGCGGTAGTCATCTTCAGAGTCAAATGAGGAGTAAACACCAGGTTAGCCGTATTTGTTCTTACGTCATTGTATTGTGTGTACAGAAAATGTGTATTGTCATTGTGAAATGTTTTTAGTTATGAAGTGTGATTTAGGTGTGATGCTTTTAGCTGTAATGTGTGGGTGTCAATTGTGTATTGTCATTGTGAATTAGTGTGAAGTGTAATGTTTTTAGTTGATCGTTTGTTTGTATTGTGAATAAGTCGTTTTTAAGGTGTCGGTAATTGCTGTGATCTGTTCAGGGGGGTTTGTTCCAAGTTTGATACCAACTTTCTAATGTAAGCCGTTGTCTATAGTCAGTACTGTAAGTAATGCATTTTGCCGAGTCCCAGTCAATGTTGTGCTTTGTGATTCGGTGATGTTTGGCAATGTGATTAAATTTGTCTTGTTTCTTAGTAGCTCGTTTGTTGTTCAGTAAGTCTTATGTTTAAGTTCCTGCCAGTTTCCCGATATAGGAGGATTGGCAGTCGGAGCAGTTTATTTTGTAAACTGCACCTTGTCATTCGTTGGGTTGTTCTTTGTCCTTTATGTTCGTTAGTAATTGCCGTAACGTTGTGATTGGTTTATGTGAGACACGTATGTTGTATGGTCGTAAGATACGCGAGATAGTCTCAGACGTACCTTTGATGTAAGGTATCGTTGCTGTTGTCGCTGAGTTGTTCGTTGCGTTGGATTCGTTAGGTTTGTAAGTGTTGCGTTTGATAAAGTCAGGGTTATAGTTGTTTTTAACAAAAACACGTTTAAGATAGTTTTTTCGTTGTGTAGAGCGTCCGGTGAATCACATATGAATTGTGCACGTCTTGCTAATGTTCCGATTGTGGTGGCTTTGTGTGATGTAGGGTTGTAAGATGATTGGTCCAGTAGTCGGTCAGTGTGTGTTGGCTTAAACAACAACAACAACAACAACAAAACAACAAACAATCAACAGTCAACAACAACAAAAACAGTCCTTCTCAGGACTATACCAACATGGACGATCTACATTTACAAACACTCTAGTTAACTTAAAACTAGTTTTAAAAGTTGATATAGTATCACAAAAACGAGTTTCATGTGGATTAAAAATAACACTGACTTGTCATGCATGTTTTGTCATGATTCGTCAAGACGCTTTGATATATAGCTAAGTTATTATGTCAGTTTGGTCGTAACACAACCTTGTTTTACTAAAACAATGTAAGAGCTCTCTTAGTTATACTAAGATCGAATTAGACCCCTCTTAAATAGTGGACTTCAATTAGCATGTTCCACCACAATGGAGAAATGATCTTGCATTCTTGTTTCAATAGCTACAACTTAGAATTGTCAAATCGAAAAATTTGAAATCAGAACAATCCATGCCAAATCAGGAAGAATTTCATCAGAAACAAGACATTATACCCTCACAGGTTATGCAATTTCTAAATATTTCCACAAATTGTTTAAAACTTACCTTAAAAAGAAAATAACTGACTTAAAGGGAGGACAGTAGTCAAATAATAAATTATTATTTGTCTATCCTACAGAGAGTTACGAGGGAGGTTCTAGAATTTATATGCCAACCCCCCTGTCAATTGTCACAACCAGTTCAATGTATTACAAATACGTAGAACAAGATTAAATACATGCATAATCACATTAGTAAAATTGGTACCATCATTTTGTAGTAACTTTAGTTTTTTGTTCCTTGTACGACAAGATTTGATTTTCCAACACTTTCAAACATGTAGAATTTAGTTTTTGACCTAACCCCCTTGTTGATTTTAAAGTTTTGCACTGCATCTAAGACAAAATTGAATTTACGTCTACTTAGGTCTTCATTGTGAAGTTGTGTCATTGACCTAATAGTCATTTGCCATTTAGTGAAATTAACAATTTTAATAATTAAGAACACTATACAAACCAGTATTTACCTAAACGAATGAAACAGAATAAACCAGGAAAACATTCACACTCTAGTCCAAAGCAGCCTAGACGTTTGAATATTGGAGATGTGTGATTTAAACTGACATGCCTTCGGTAGTTATTGTTTTCATTAACGAAGAGGCACTGACGTGTCACGAGGGTGTGAATTCACTCTGAGAAGAGAAGCAAATGCAATGTATAAAAGCAAAAACTTACGTTACAGCTCACTATTTTCTTTCTTCCATATTCTGCCACAAATAAGACTAAGGTGTAATGCAATCACAGCCAAGTAATCAGTCTGTTTAGGCTTTTTATGCAATCGATTTATGTAGTAAATATATTCTTTGATTCATAAGCAATGTTTGTCACGCACACTATCTCGCGTGACTTCCACGTTTATATGTTCTTGCGTGCGTGCCATTGTGCGCGCATAGCAATGGTGCATGGAGATAGCGTCAATGGATAGCGTGCCTGAACCATCAATGGCGTGGTGAACTAACATTGCATATGAATCTTCTGGTAAAAAGCTTGTAAACATAACACGTTTTTACAAGCTTTTTATCAGAAAAAAGTTTCTAAGGTTGATTTAAGATTTGAGGTTGTTTTGACTTAGCGCGTTAATAAGGGGCGAGGTTTGTACAAAAAGACAAAGGCCCGATATTTCTCAGTAAAGACCGAGAAAGCGAGGTTATTAAAAGGTTTATTATATCTCATTATTTGACCTGAAACAGAGCTCGAGACGAAGCTTACTTTCTTCCGCATCCTTGCTGTTTCGTACGGATTGGCTTTCACTTTTCTAGTTTTCATCGGTATAAAATTAATCGTTTTAAATTGTATCGACTGGATAGTTTAACTGTTTTCCCGAGTGTTTTTGCTTCGACTTACATACGTAAATATCATCGTAAACAATACGATTTTTTGTTTCGATTTTTTGCGTTTTGCTGTTTGCTTTACGAAATTTGTTTACATTTGGCTGTAAAATTACGCGTTTTGGACCGTGGTCCATAACGGAAAATAATGGACCGGCAAAATTGTTTCTGAGCCAATGAAAGCGCGCCATTTTACCGGAAGTGACGCTTTCCATACAATAACAGGCCATTAATTAGCCACTAGATTAATTAGTCTATTAATGCGTTTGAAAAAATTAGTGCATCGTTGTTATGCGCGTGGTCCCGAAAGATTAACTGTTAATTTTAACACTATTTCCACAGGGTAGTGTGAACCAGTTCAATGGCGGATCTAGATTACGTTAAAATATATTACTAGTCGCGCAGCACATTTTGGCCTTTATTTACATTTCTTAACATCTCAGAGGCAAATCCATAGGTAAAATGATATTCTTTAGAAATTAAATACCAATAATGTTTTTCTGAATGAGGTTACATAGTAACCAAGGTTAATATCTGAGAACCAGCGACGGCCTGGGACCGAATGACGTCGAAAGGTATATAAGTACCTAAGTGTAAATGTTGATGATGTGTAACAATGGTTTCCTTGGAGTGCTATTGTAATATCCTTGGTGGTCAGGTCCTGAACGTGATTTGTTTTATTCGGGACCTGGACTCCAAGCAACCTAAAACGTGTGCCAGGTTGCTCAAGCTTGCACCTAACCAGTAAGGTAACGATAGATATTAAATGAGGTTACATACTAACCAAGGTTAATATCAGAGGAGCCAGCGACGGCCTGGGACCGATCGACATAGGAAGGTATATAAGTAACTAAGTGAAAATGAGAAGACCATTATTCAACACATTTGTAAGCAGAACGTCCTGAAAATTTTTTTAGTAAAGAAAATATGGTATTTATCAGCAGAGGCGTAACTAGAACGTTAATTGGGGTGGATATTCATATATTCCGTAGTGATATATATGAATTGAATTTCAAAAGAAATCAGTAAGGCATAACTGAATATATGAATATACACCCCCCTCCTCAATTAACGTTCTAGTTACGCCTCTGTTTATCAGTGTGAAAATACTGTTCTCGAAAAGGTATGAGGTGATTTTGAGGCCATACTCAGTGAGTGTGAGTGAGCTTTCAGAACACGGCCGATAACATTCATAATTCAAATTGATTACATCACAGACGGGGCGTGGGTAAAAGAGACAAATCATGTTCTCTTGCAATAGAGTATGTGTAAAGCAAAATTTCAGGAAAACACAAAAGAAAATAATCAACCACTCCATCACTATTATATGAGAAAATTTCCTTTAGTTTTGGACCAAGGGTTTTAATGTGCTGTATTTTGTTACGAATTACTCTTAGTAGGGTGTGCATCTTATCCTCGTCATATTTCTCACAATCACTTCGAAGGGCTTTGTCTACTTTTACTTTCCAACTTTTCCCAAATACATTGGCAGCTCCCCTTTCCAGTTTTTCTTTAAAGGCAACGATCCTTGCATCTTTTTTTTCTTCTACAATTTTCCCAAGCTCATCAAAAAAACTCAACCTATCTTTACTGGTCCATAATAAAGGATGATGTAAAACGTCAAGGGCTTCCGGTCTTTCAACAGGATAGAAAGAAATCATTTTTGATATCAAATCCCGAGCCAAACTTGCCAGATATGGCGTTTCCTTATAATGCTCATTTATGTCATCAAGATTGAAATTGTTCTCCTTAGAACAGATGTTGTCTTGGCAACTATCTAGGTCAGTTAATACACCAAAAGGATGACCACCTCGTGTGATGACAAAATGATAGACACACCCAAGGGAGAAGATGTCTACGGAGGCTTTTCTTTCGCCAACATTCCATAATTCATTAGATGTCCAACCCTTCGTACCAAATCTAACTTTATGTGCGGATTCTTCGTCAGAAAAATGGCCAACGTCAAAATCTGAAAGCAAAAATCGTACAGAATCGCTTTTTTTCCACAGAATATTTTGCGGCTTTATGTCTCGATGCTGTATACCAAGCGTATGAAGATAGTTTAAACCACGGGCAATATGTAAGAAGCAAATTTCGGGTTTAAACTGTCCAACTAAGTCTTTATTGTAGTCAATGATTGCACTATGCAAATCTCCGTCACATAGTTCAAGAGCGAGGTACATAAATTTATTGTTATCCTTGTGCTCAAACCAAAGGTACTGCACAACATTTTCGTGAAATTGCCTACTTTCATAAATTTTTAAATGAATTTCAAGCTCTTTTCGGGAACATTTGTGATGTCTCTACGGCAACCTGGCGTCCATCTTTCAGTTTGCCTTTAAAAACATTGCCTGTTGTCCCTAACAATTCATTGTAGTCAAACTCAATTTCTCCGACATGCTTTGTACTGTTTGGAGGTCTTTGCTGTATCATAGGGTGAATTAGGTAAATGCACACTGGAATAATTATCAGGAAAGAAAGAAATATGCTGGGATGAAGGCTCGATTCAATAGGGCAATGTTCAAAATGGCGTGGACCAAGATCTGCTAGAAACATTCCTTTGAGGGATGCAGGATAATGACAAGACGCATTACTACCAGCAACTAAATTGTTGACGTATAGGACATCGCTCATATCACATGAGCAGTTCCACATATTCCCCTTTAAAACAAGCACCTTAAGTTTAGGAAATTTTGAAATACCTTTCCAGGGGAGAATATGTAGCAAATTGTTCGAAAAATCCAAACATTCAAGTTGCGATACGCCGACGAATGAGCCAATAGGTATTTCCCATAAATAATTATTGGACAAATTAATCATTCGAATACTGGGTAAATTTTTAAAAGAAGAGTTTTGTAAGGTGTCAAGGACGTTGTTAGCCAAGGAAATACTTTCAACAAGTTGTAAATTTGAAAATGTGTCTTGTTCAATAGTTTTCAGAAAGTTGTCACTCAAATCAATTAAATGGAAATTGGAATTTTCTAGGATGTAACCAGGGGAAAGAAAAGTAATTTGGCAATTGCGAAGACTGACGGAAAGGAGAAATGGATGCAATGGTAATGGAGAGTGAGGAATCTTGTCAATACCCAAGGTCCCAAGCTTATACCCTGATATTATCATATCAGTTGTATTCTTGGGTATATTAAGAGGGATTCTGTCTGCTTCATATACCACAAAAATCATTCCTGTGCTTGTTGTGCAGTTCACATAAACCGATTTTCGAATCTTCCTGACTGATTTAGTATTTGCTTGTCATAGCATTGACACTCACCTAAACAAGGATCGCCACCACTATACGTTTTAGGCTGTGTGCCAATAAGATTAAATAAATCCATCTCACACAAACATAGAGGAGTCAGTGCTAGTATTATTGAGCAACAAAGGATCCATTTAGAGATCACCACCTAGCAAAAATAGAGAAACGCTTTACAAATTTGAATAGAAACTGCCACTAACAGGGTGCAATTTCTTCCACCAAAAGTTATGCTACATTGTACGTAAATTGTGTTACCACTTATCAAATTATCGTAGCAGTTATTGCCGTCTAACCTCATCGGAGATCTGATTACAAAAATCATCATGTTGGTCACTGAATGTGTTAATCAGTGACTAGTTTGAGAAGACCCTATTCTCTTTTAATTCCACGTAACTATGTAATTTAATTTCAGTTAGTCTCTCCTGTACTTCAACTCTGTTTCTTATGAACTAGGTGATAATATGATTGTTTTAAATATAAGAAATTTAATTTACATGTTCAACATAGGTAGTAATTGATAGCAACACGTTCAATTGTTATTTATAGATTATGAGAAGATTGGCGTTGACGGAAAGGAGAATGCTTAGGATGATGTGTGGTGTAACGTTGATGGATAGGACATGAAGAGATTAGAAGACTGAGTGTATCAAGAATAGGTAATGTCGAGGTGGTTTCATGTGTGCTGAAATTAGAACGTTGCATATGAATGTTGATGGAGTCCGCAAAAGGTAGACTGATGGATGGATGCTGTGAACAGTATGAACATGGGTATAACGAGAGATATGGCAGAAGACGCTTAGAAAATCATGATCAATACGCTAAAAATTCAGTTTGTATGAGTATTTAAAATCTAACATTTTGAACTTATAAGTATTCTGAGATCATGGTATTAGAAATATTGAGAAGCTGAATGCCTTGCTTGTGCCACTATAATAATTGTGCAGACCTTAGTATGATATTGAATATAGGATCAATCATGCTAATCAAATTGTTTTAACATTTGAAATTTTTAAACATGGAAATTGATAAGACTTTGTTAAAAACTTTCCAAACATGTCAAGTCAAAACATGTCAAGTAGAATTGACACATAGTAGTTGTTATTGCCACATTATATTTGCAACAAATTGACACCATCATTTCCTATTAATTTTAGTTTTTTGCTGCCCTTAAGACAAGATTTGATATTTCAACACTTTGAAATACTTAGAATTTAGTTTTTCGACCTAGCCCCCTGTTAATTTTAAAGTTGTAGCGCTGCATCTAAGACAAATTTAAGTCTACTTTAGTTTTTGTTGGGAAGAGTCATTAACCTATAGTCATCTGCCATTTAGTGAAATTGACAATCAATTATTTTAATTTAAGAACAACACTGTAATTAAACTAGCGTGCTTTCGGTAGTTGTTATTTTCATTAACGAGGAGACACGTAGGTGTGAATTTAAACTGAGAAGCAAATACAATGCATAAAAAGCAAAAAACTTACGTTACATTTCACAATTTTCGTTCTTCCATATTCTGCCATAAATAAGGTGTAATGCAACATTAAGATTTACGTAATATGCTGAAACGATTCAGACCAGAACCAAAATAAAAAATGCTATTGTGACGTAATTTCTGTGACATAAAGAGTACAATAAAATACACACGTGTTTGGTGTCGTTGTAAAGATCAAGTTTAGACTACGAAGATGCTATTTTATTTGGGCCAAAGTCTTGGAACTGTGCTTGGAACAAATGTACAGCCTTGAAAAGACTACTTCCGCTGTTGTCACTTTACGTTTATTAGTATGCGCGATATTTGCAATGGATGCGTACTGACATCTAAAAAATGCCTACTTTTAAAGTAGCAAACACGCTAAAAAATACGTGTGATCGTACGTTTTCCAAGGATTTCAAATATATCTTTGCTTTTGTGGCCCGAATTCGTGAAACAAACATACAGCCGAGGAGCTAAGCTGTGTACTGTGAGGTGACCACAGGAAGATTCAAGACGGAACACTTTTTAAACTCTTGTTTTAAAATGGTCAAATGGGTAAATTTTAATTTGAGAACGACACCTTTCAAGTAGACAAATTGTTTGTTACGTTTAAAATACAAATGGCTGATAAATACGATGACAGATGTTTTATTAAACCACCAGAACATTGCTTTGTTGTCTTGTGACGAAACAATTAACAAATGCGTATGGTTTTTCTCAAAATACTATTTTCTTCTTTGATAAACAGAAATTTAGTTTCACTTATATGAAAATTTGTGCGAAAAGTTTTTTGTGATCTCTTCCCCCTTGTTTGAAAGCAGTTTACATTTTATTTACGGAGTATTACTGTTTTGTGTAAAAACACTTTTCATGTTTTTATTGTGTAGAGGTACAAGCACTATTTACAGTGTTGAATTTTGACCTTATTCTATTATTACAAGCTATTGGTTTATGCATGTGATACACTTTAAGCCTTATATTTAAATAAATTCAACATCAACAAGACCATACAAGATATGTCCATGATGAAACTTTGGTGTTTAATATTAGTTGTTTAACTCATGTGGACAGAAAACTTTTTAAATTCATTTAATTTGATGCCAAGTAATTTTCTACCTTTTAATATCACAACTGGATTACCATGTTGTTATTGTTAAGTAAATGATATTGTTGTAGGAACATGTCCTTAGTATTTCACCATTCATGGAGGGCATGAACCTGGCCAGACATGTCCTTAGTATTTCACCATTTATGGAGGGCATGAACCTGGCCAGGTCATGATGGTCCATCCCTGCAACAACTTCATTTGTTTTATTGTGTTTTGTTTAATTTTTATGTGCTCAAATTTCATCACTGCATTTTAGAATCAAAACTTTAAAATGCTATTGAATATAAGTTCAGGAGTCACTGTAAATGCTCCTTGAAGTCACGAAAACAAAATTCTTTGAGTAATAAATACCAACTTACATTGGTTAACTTTTCTTCTCAAAAAGAAGTGTTTTGTTTCAGTACAATGTTTGCTAATCCAATGCTGTGATTTATTTCTACAAATTTAAAACAGTTTGAAACAAAATCTTCTCCTTCGTCCTTCTTAATTGTAAAAAATATTGAAGTTCCAATTATATATTGAAAAATTATAAAAAATATTGTAAAAAATATTGAAGTTCCATGATGCTCTAATTATGAAAACATTGCGTGGAACTTTTTAATTGTTGGCAAAATAAAAACATCCAATATACCATGCTATTCAATTATATGAATTGATTAATTTCAGTAACATAAAAACTATAGTTTATCATACAGCAATAAAAATATAAAATGCATTATTACAGTATAGGTATTAAATATGTTATTATTACTATTAAACTATTATTTTCATTACTGTTTTATAGTTTGACAATGAATTGTTTTCAAAATGGGATCATGCAATGTTGTTGGGATGTTTCGAGTACAATCTGGAGTCGGTTAAAAGATGAATCTTTTTTGGAAAGCATACCTTTGTTGCTTAGGTAATAATCTTATTAAATATTGTTAGTTCTCATCATTTAGGCTGCAAGGATTTTATTTTGGGAGAAAAAACACTGTCATAATGTCGCAAGTTTATATACTGTACTTCTTATGTTGTTTCATGTTACTGACATTTTCAAGTTATACGTACAAACTGTCACCACTGGTTCCTGTTTTGACCATTCTTGATTTTGCTAAAGTTGGTCAAAGATTCATAGAAAATTGCTATTTATTATTCAAATTTATCTTTACCTGACAAATGGGACCACTTTAGGCCATAGCCACCTGTTTTAAAGTATCTGGCTGTTAGGTGCCAGAGGTAACTAATTGTGCTAGATTGAGTACTCTTGTTCCAGGTCTGCAAATTTTGGAAAAATTTTATTTTGTAAACCTGTGAATTCATATTAGTGCATTTGAAAGGTGACGTCGTTGAGGAACTCAAGCATCTTTAACCTAATATCATTTCTTCTACTAACCATAAATTTTATTAACTACTGACACTTCATATATTTACAAAACACTTTAGTACTCCCAAAAATGATGTGGTTGAAACGGATCGTTGGCTACGGCCCTGGTCTGGTGAAGAGACTACTTTATTTTCGTTTTTTAGTTTAATGAGAAAAGATTGATACAGAAACGTCGTCCTCAGAACATATCCAGTCTACAATTCTGACCAGCTTAAATTTACCAAAGTGACGGAAAAGGTTTGTGATGATTTGTTATTGTAAGATATTTGGCAAGTATGCAAAGACGTTTGAAAACTTTAAACTCTATCGTTAGATAGCTATAAGACTTTAAATTGGTATTGATGAGATACAGTGTGCCTTTGTCGTAGACTCGTAGAGCGACACTTTGTTATTAACCAATGCTATTTCAGGATTACTCCTTACAAAACAATCAGATAGCTGTATTGTAACGTCAAGTTAAGTTTATAGTAGCGTAAAGTTAGCTGTATAGTAACGTCAAGTCAACTCTATAGTAACGTTAAGTTAGCTGTATAGTAACGTCAAGTTAGCTGTATAGTAGCGTCAAGTTAAGTGTATAGTAACGTCAAGTTAGATGTATAGTAACGTCAAGTTAGCTGTATAGTAACGTCAAGTTAGCTGTATAGTAACGTCATGTTAGCTGTATAGTAACGTCAAGTCAACTCTATAGTAACGTCAAGTTAGCTGTATAGTAACGTCAAGTTAGCTGTATAGTAGCGTCAAGTTAAGTGTATAGTAACGTCAAGTTAGATGTATAGTAACGTCAAGTTAGCTGTATAGTAACGTCAAGTTAGCTGTATAGTAACGTCAAGTTAGCTGTATAGTAACGTCAAGTTAACTCTATAGTATCGTCAAGTTAGTTGTATAGTATCGTCAAGTTAACTGTATAGTAACGTCAAGTTAACTTTATAGTGACTTCAAGTTAACTGTCTAGTAACGTCAAGTTAACTATATAGTAACGTCAAGTTATCTGTATGGTAACGTTAAGTTAGCTCTATAGTAACGTCAAGTTAGCTGTATAGTAACGTCAAGTTAGCTTTGTAGTAACGTCCAGTTCATTGTATAGTAATGTCAAGTTAACTCTATAGTAACGTCAAGTTAGCTCTATAGTAACGTCAAGGTAGCTGTACAGTAACGTCAAGTTAGCTGTATAGTAGCGTCAAGTTAGTTGTATAGTAATGTCAAATTAACTGTATAGTAACGTCAAGTTAACTTTATAGTAACGTCAAGTTAACTTTATAGTAACGTCAAGTTAGCTGTATAGTAACGTCAAGTTAGCTGTATAGTAGCGTAAACTTAGTTGTATAGTAATGTCCAGTTGACTGTATAGTAACGTCAAGTTAACTCTATAGTAACGTCAAGTTAACTCTATAGTAATGTCAAGTTAACTGTATAGTAACGTCAAGTTAGTTGTATGGTAAAGTCAAGTTAACTGTATAGTAACGTCAAGTTAACTCTATAGTAACGTCAAGTTAGCTGTATATTAAGGTCAAGTTAGCTGTATAGTAACGTCAAGTTAGTTGTACAGTAACGTCAAGTTAACTGTATGGTAACGTCAAGTTAGCTCTATAGTAACGTTAAGTTAACTGCATAGTAACATTAAGTTAACTGCATAGTAACTTCAAGTTAACTGTAAAATAACGTCAAGTTAATTGTATGGTAACGTCAAGTTAGCTGTATAGTAACGTCGAGTTAGCTGTATAGTAACGTCAAGTTAGCTCTATAGTAACGTCAAGTTAGCTGTATAGTAACGTCAAGTTAGCTCTATAGTAACGTCGAGTTAGCTGTATAGTAACGTCAAGTTAGCTGTATAGTAACGTCAAGTTAGCTGTATAGTAACGTCAAGTTAACTTTATAGTAACGTCAAGTTAACTTTATAGTAACGTCAAGTTAGCTGTATAGTAACGTCAAGTTAGCTGTATAGTAGCGTCAAGTTAGCTGTATAGTAGCGTAAACTTAGTTGTATAGTAATGTCCAGTTGACTGTATAGTAACGTCAAGTTAACTCTATAGTAACGTCAAGTTAACTCTATAGTAATGTCAAGTTAACTGTATAGTAACGTCAAGTTAGTTGTATGGTAAAGTCAAGTTAACTGTATAGTAACGTCAAGTTAACTCTATAGTAACGTCAAGTTAGCTGTATAGTACGGTCAAGTTAGCTGTATAGTAACGTCAAGTTAGTTGTACAGTAACGTCAAGTTAACTGTATGGTAACGTCAAGTTAGCTCTATAGTAACGTTAAGTTAACTGCATAGTAACATTAAGTTAACTGCATAGTAACTTCAAGTTGACTGTAAAGTAACGTCAAGTTAATTGTATGGTAACGTCAAGTTAGCTGTATAGTAACGTCAAGTTAACTCTATAGTATCGTCAAGTTAGTTGTATAGTAATGTCAAGTTAACTGTATAGTAACGTCAAGTTAACTTTATAGTAACTTCAAGTTTGCTGTATAATAACGTCAAGTTAGCTTTATAGTAACGTCGAGTTAGCTCTATAGTAACGTCGAGTTAGCTTTATAGTAACGTCAAGTTAGCTGTATAGTAACGTCAAGTTAGCTGTATAGTAACGTCAAGTTAGCTGTATAGTAACGTCAAGTTAGTTGTATGGTAACGTCAAGTTTGCTGTATAATAACGTCAAGTTAGCTTTATAGTAACGTCGAGTTAGCTCTATAGTAACGTCGAGTTAGCTGTATAGTAACGTCAAGTTAGCTGTATAGTAACGTCAAGTTAGCTGTATAGTAACGTCAAGTTAGCTGTATAGTAACGTCAAGTTAACTGCATAGTAGCGTCAAGTTAGTTGTATGGTAACGTCAAGTTTGCTGTATAATAACGTCAAGTTAGCTTTATAGTAACGTCAAGTTAGTTGCATAGTAACGTCAAGTTAGCTGTATACTAACGTCAAGTTAGCTGTATAGTAACGTCAAGTTAGCTGTATAGTAGCATCAAGTTAGTTGTATGGTAATGTCAAGTTAACTGTATAGTAACATCAAGTTAAT